TCTTATTATTTGTATCGCAGTTAAGCGAAAGCAACATAAAACAGAATGAATGACTGGCCCATTTTGACACATCCCATTGAGTTAACAGTGGTTGGACGACGGTTTAACCATGCATTCCCTAAGTGGTGGTCCGTGGATCGGCACCAACCCGTAGGCGTTCCGTTGCCAGTCCGCGCATCATGAATATTTATGGCGAAATAAATATAAATATGTGTCATAGATCTGCTACTGGTCAATGGTGCAATTTCGATACTTGCCCGCCGGTCGATGGTGCAATTTCGATGCCTATCCACCGGTCCATTGTGCAATTTTGACACTTGTCCACCGGTCAGTGGTGCAATTTTAATACTTCTGCACCGGTCCATGCTGCAATTTCGACACTTGTCCACCTGTCGGCCCAAATTTAAACTTAAGGAAACTCTGGAGTAGAAAGCAGACTTTTCCAGTCATGACATTTATTTGAATGTTGAATCCGACCCATTTTTTTTCTCTTGGATGTATTTATTTATTTAGATAGAACAGGGTATGCGGGAAAAAACCTGGAGAAGGGCGCATCGTAACTGCGAAAAGTACAAACAAACAGTAACATATGTAAACATAAATATTAATCAAAATACAACATCAAAACTCAGCGTCAAATGCTGCATCACAGAGAACGGTCAGCGCAGCGGTGGGCCGGTTGTTGTTTGGTATGTGTAGGTGGGGGGGGGGCAGTGACGTGGCTAGGGTATAGGTGTCACCCGGTGCGGTACACTCATGGTGTCACCCCTCTCCCCCCGACTTCCACGATGGGATTTTTTTAAAAACCTATTAAGCCACAGTATAGCAATGACACAGGGCCGGCGCTAGGGGATGGGCTTTGCGGGGCCCGGCGCGTTGCCGTAGTTTTATGTATAATATACATCAGCCTACTGATAGTTCCTAATCCAGTCAACACAATATTCGGAGTTTATTAGATAGTCAAATAAATGGTCTGAAGGTCAGTTTGGCTCCCATTCCGGGCAAGAGATTCGTACTCGGTACCGGTTCTGCAGATTGTATGTCAGGCTCCCATACTGTCCCTTTATTTTCGCTAGAAGCTGTCATGAGTATTTTGTGTGAGTCTTTTTTTTTCTTTTTTTTTTTGCTTGTCTTAATATCCTATCGGCGGAGTTTATAACGTCAACGGCCCCACAAAATTCAATTTGCCCAAGGCCCCGCACCCTCCTGGCGCCAGCCCTGAATGACAAGAACACAAAGAAATTAATTGAAAGTCTGGAGGTACGTGTATTTAAGAACTGTATAATGTATTTTCCGGAGAACATCCTATTTGGTAGCAATGGAAAGTTTTATTTTATTATTAGATACACATCTATTTCGCAAACACCTTCTGGGATGATTGTCTATCATAGTTTCCAGTTAATGCATATTGGCTGTGTTGCTCAGGGTTGAAATGGGTAGAAAAACTTTGACTTGGTATGCGTGTAGTTAGTTTTTGTAGTGTTGCGTTTGTTTTAAATGTGGTAAATTATAGTGGTTTTTTTTTTTTTTTGTTTTTTTTTTTATTTTTTACCGCACTTCGAGCCTTTTGGGATTAAGCGTGTTTTTTTAAAATAAACGTTATTATTATTATTATTTCACAGAATTTAAATAAATATAACTTCCTGTCACTTACGAAAGTTACCGTACATTTCAATCTTGGTTGAATCATGGTCAAAGCGGTGTGTTTATGACCTAATAAAGCACGCATTCCGATTTGTTACATGTGTAGAAAATTTTCTTGCGATCGGTTATCCTTTTATGAAATTCTGTTAGAACGAGCAGTGTGTGCTCTGTAAAATATGCAATTTTTAAATTTGGTGTCAACTCCTGAGATGGTGTCACCCGGTGCGGTCCGCACCCCGCACCCACCCACCCCGCCCCCAGCTAAGCCACTGTGTTAGAGTGTAGAGGGGTATGGTTTTATTTTTTTTCAGGACAGGAACTACGTAAAGGCCTACACTATGAAATATACAGACAAAATGGTGGGAACAGCGTAAAGGCCGCTACACTATGAAATATACAGACAAAATGGTGGGAACGGCGTAAAGGCCGCTACACTATGAAATATACAGACAAAATGGTGGGAACGGCGTAAAGGCCGCTACACTATGAAATATACAGACAAAATGGTGGGAACGGCGTAAAGGCCGCTACACTATGAAATATACAGACAAAATGGTGGGAACGGCGTAAAGGCCGCTACACTATGAAATATACAGACAAAATGGTGGGAACTACGTAAAGGCCGCTACACTTTAAAATATACAGACAAAAATCGTTATTGTTGTAACACAATAAACGAAAGCAGAGATACTCGACGCCTGAAAACAATAGTTGGAACTTGTGTGTGGTAGATGAAATATGCTTCGTGGATTGTGGTCAAAAGATGCTTTGTGGAGTGTGGTGGAAAGATGCTTCGTGGATGGTGGTCGACGGATGCTTTGTAGATGTTGGTCGAAATACGCTTTGTGGATGTTGGTAGAAATATGATTTGTGGATGTTTGTCTAAAGATGCTTTGTGGATGGTGGTCGAAAGATGTTTTGTGGATGGTGGTCGAAGGATAATTTGTGGATTGTGGTCGAAGCATGCTTTGTCGATGGTGGTCGAAAGGTGCTTTGTGGTTGGGGCTCTAAAAATACTTTGTGGATAAGGGTCGAAGCATGCTTTGGGAATGATGATCCAAATTGTAGCTAATTCTTAGTAACAGAATATTTTTTACCGTGCAAAGTGCAAATTGAAATGGTTAAGTCGGATTCAAAACCAACAATTATAATAGTTTTTTTTTAAAGGTATTTTAGCATCACACATCTTTCATGCGATTTGTCAACAAACAATTCCTTTTTTAAAAAATAAGAATTTATTTTAATTATTATTATTATTTTTTTTTTTTTTGACCTGATTTGTTGCAAACCCAGACGAGATTGAAATGGCAATCGAGAAATCGAATTACATTTCACATGAATTTCTCGTGGTAAAAAAAAAAACGCCCACAATTTCATCAAATGGGTGAAAGCTAAAGTAGCTGAACAACACGTGAATTTTTTTTTGTTAAAGTGGCAACATATTTACCGCCTGTGCGTTCTAGGAAGCGAAAATGGCGTGTTGGGGGTGATTGCAGTCGCAGAACCATTGTTCGATCCAATCCCAACATTCAGTGCTGTTCATTTTCAATGATATCATGATTAAGGTGATGTTGAATAGTTATCCTAGAAGGAATACAGAAAACGGTAAGATAGCTGCGAGTATCTTATGCCGCGATCCGATGAGTTTCTATGAACTTGATTTAGTTTCGAATTTCTCAGCAACAAAATGTAGCGATGAGACGCCGATGCAATGGCATGTAGAATTCGGGAAGAACTTCTATATTTTGATTTTAAATTCGACAGTTTGAAGAAATGTATTACAGAAGACGCTGAAAATTAGTTTAAGAATAATAAATAACGAAGACCAAGACTGTGGCCGATGGAATGGCCCAAGTCAGGATGGGGTTAAAATGCTCAGTAGATTTAAGGAGGCACTAGACCACCTAAAAAGGAGGAGGGGGGGATTAAATATGTCAGAATTAAAAAAAATAAAAAAGAATCATAAGGATAAATTATTTTTTTTTTAAAAATGTTGGATACAAACTAAAAGTTCTTTGCCTATCGATTGGCAAGTGTTAGTCACTGCTAGAAGCTATAATTTGACATTATGTCATTTTTAAAGACAAAAACGACGCTTCTCTTAGCCTTAGCGCCCACTTCCTAAGAATGAGACGTAACGTTGTTATTGTCCGAAATATTAGCTAATTTCAGTGAACTGATTTACAGTTGCAGGCAGATGAGGTCATTCAAACTCCAATAATGAATAATCTCTACCCTTTGTTTAAAAACGAGTTATGCCCATGGGTAACTGGTCAACTTCCAAGCCCATGAAGTAAGAAGTGAAGCCGTTACAAAATTAATTATGATATGAAAATATCTAGCGGTCAATTGAAAATGGTACACACAAATTAATGTGTTTGGGCGATTTTAAGATCTTTGAATAATCAGATTATGTGAAATTATAATAAGGTTTTAGTCGTTGGTATTTTGGATGAAGAGATAATTCAGGTTATCGAGCTGAAGCCAATGTTAATGGCACTTACTTTAGAAAGTGGTTAAGAAGCTCCTTGTATATTACAATATCCCCTTTGAAGTAACGTGGTTTTAGTGTGGTTGTAATATAAATATTTATCCCAAAAATTCTTAACATGTTATTAAGTTGCCTTAAACCAGACTTTCAGCACAATGTGACACTTTACCTTTATTAAGCCCTCCCTAAACATTAAGAATATCTTAGCATTCCAGTGTCCAGGAGCACGTTTCTATTAGGCCTACTTAGTATAGGCCTAATATCTGAATAATATCTGCTAAATAATGATTGTACTCTTCCAAAATTAAGTTTTGATAGATCAAGTCAACCAGTTTATTACTGAATTAATTAAAGCAAAAAGTAGCTTTGTACTTAAATGGAAAGTTCAATCATAATCAAAATCATATGTTGAACTTCTACATTTTATCGTCTCATTATCTGGCGCACAGAGCTGTGCAAACTACTATCTTGAATAATAATATTTATTGTGTGACACAAAATGTTGTGCAACACACAACACGATAAAGTTTTAGAACTACTGGTCTATTGGTCTAGTTTAAAATGAGTGGGTGCTGACACTTCTTCCTCTTTCCAGCTCCCACCCAGAGTCAAAGTTCACAAGGGCGTTACCCCAAAACACAACATATTCTATATTAAACAAAGAATTTACAGGAAAATAACATTCAATTGCATAAAATATGACTTTTAAGGATTTTTATTTAAATAAATAACACAAAAGCCAACAAAGTGATTTACAATAAACATGATTTTTTTTAAAAATAAAGAAGTTTTAATCTGTAGGTTTGTTGTTGCTATTTATATTGGTTACTAATAATTTTTGTGAACACCGCACGATTGATCACGTGATAAAGACTTCCGGATATTCAGCTATGGCGACTGAAAACGAAACCGAGCGCTTGAAGCTGAAAATGGTCGTTGAAAAAGAACCCGATTTCGCCACAATGCGTGACTCCATAGAACTCAGACATGGTCTTATATTTATTTTTGCAACCATTTCTTTTTTCAATCTTTTGAATTGGATAATAAAGTCTTATGGCCCACCAAAATCTCTTAAAGAGGAAGAATGGAAATGGAGAAATCTCTACGTTTCCTGGGTTCATGCGCTTATCACGTCGGTATGGGTTATTCTTAGGTAAGTAAAATATTTTAAAGACCATTAGGCGTGCCTAATAAATATTTTCAAGAATTAACATTTCTTTAATCAGAACACCTCAACAATTGAAGAGTTCTGCGAAAAGACCCCAAATGTTGCTGTAAATGACAAAAAGTAGCCTATTTTAATTTATTAAAAATTACGGTAAATTTACACTCTCTGCGCCATACTGGGCCATAGTGTTTTATTATGGCTGGCACCTTGGTTGCCTTGACACATGGTCATGACAACCAAGGTGGTGGCCATGTAAAAAACTCAAAAAAGGGAGAGAATGTGTCAGTTTAACTATTTACAGAGAGAAGCAAAAATAGGCCCACAATGTTAACATTAAATGAAAAGATTTCCGACAGTAAAAAAATTTTATGGTGAACATAGCTAATTTATTGTATCCGTCTATATATTTGACAAGAAGTATTAACGACCTGTTTTTGCCCCCTTCCCTGACGCAATTTAGCCGGTACATGCTTGTTCCCCTAACCTAAAACACATGTGCCGCTACAGTTACATACTAATACTATGTTAAGAAAACTGAAAATGAAGAAAAACAAAGCAAAATATTTAAAATAATAAACCTAACTCACACTTCCATAGAATACACTTTACACACTTTATTTCAGGTTGCAGCAAAAAGAAAATCTGGTAAATGCAAAAAAAAAAAAAAAAAAAAAAAAAAAGAAGAAAAAAAAAACAAAAAATTTAAAATAATAAACCTAACTCCCACTACCAAAAAATACACTTTACACACTTTATTTCAGGTTGCAGCAAAAAGAAAAACTGGTAAATGCAAAAAAAAAAAAAAAAAGAGATGCCATGTATTTTTCCATGGCTGCCATCTTGGTTGCCATGACCCGTGAACTATTACGGGTTCACTGGAGGTGGTAGTCAAGATGGCGGCCGTGAAAAAATAAAACAACTCTCGTTTGCTAAAATTAGGAATAAAACGTTAAAAATGAATGAAAACATTTCTTAATGTATCCCTAAATCTATCCCTAACCTGGGTATTGACACTAAATCTAACGTGGATATTGACCCTAACCTGAACTCCCTAAATGTATCCTTAAACCTAACCTGAACCCGAAATGTATCCCAAACCCTAAAACTAGCCCTAAATCCTCAAGTAAAAACACGTGTACAACAGCAGTGACACACTGTGGCAAGAAAACTAAAAAAATGAAGAAAAACAATTTAAAAATAATTCTAAAATAAATAAATAATGAAAACCCAACTTAGTTTCATAGAATACATTTTTACACACTTTATTTGGGGTTCCGCCGAAAAGAATATCCAGAAAATGAATAAAACACCATGCAGTCATGAAATAATGCATTTTAAAATATGGTGGAACAATTAAAATATTATAATTAGCCAACCACTGAAATTTTAAAATTCAATAAAATTTCTATACAACACATGCCATCGTCATGTTAAGGAAAATGTAACAAAAAACAAGGGGAGTGAATCCAATAAAAAATCTTAACAAAAACGCGCTAGTGACGTCATGGCATCTCTTCTTTGCATTGAACGAAAATCCAAACGTTAGAAAATCAATACAAAACAATAATTAAACCCATTTTCCAAAATGCTGGAAAATTAAATGTTATGATTGACCAACCAATGAAATTTTAATTTAAAACATTCCATTGTCATATTAAGGAAAAGTTATCTCTAGTAACAAGAAGATTAACAAAAGGGAGAGAATCCTAAACACACAAGCCATGGCACTGATAGCGTGAATTGACTTAAATTACAATAATAGATTCCAATAGGCCCAATGCCAAAGTCAACTGATTTTATGTGAAGAAAATATCAATCGCTCACCTTTCATCTCTTCCAATAATTTGCGCATCAATCCTGAAGTTGTGCCACTTACAAGATGCTGCTGATGTTTATCATTTTATTAGTCTTAAAAACCTAAGCCAGTGTAAATGTAATTGGTTGACCTAGGGTCACACATCTTATATCTGATTTGAAGTTCATATCTGAAGATAAACAGAAAACAATCAAACTTGCCAACACCAAAGCTGTCCAAACTAAATCAAGTTATGGTAAATTTACGTTAGACGGACCACTCATTTCTGATGACTGCACGACCTGCCAACCCATCCGATTTTTCGGAATTATAAGGATTTTATATCCCTCATTCCGACAAGCCCTTTAAAGTTAAGTTTTTCCAAACATTGTAATTTTTCACCCGTCATAAAAATCCGAAAGCGAAAAAAAAAAATGGGTATGACAGGAAGTGGTGCATTTCGAAGATGCCACTTCCTTTGTTTTTATGAAGTGTCTACATGTCCGGTGATCGGGCGAATAAGTTCTCAATATATTCATCTGGCTGTTATATATTCGACCTAGTCACATGACCGCCGTAACAAAGTTGCGCGAGATATTTGTCCATCAGCCTTGTCACGTGACTGCTAATACTAATAGTAGTAATATTCTATCAGAGTTTACGGTACTTCATTTCAACAAATTCATGATAGTCTGGACATTTACATGAAAAATAAATATGTTCAATTCTACAAAAGAAATACTAAACCCATTGCTGGTATATTTAACGAACAAATGGTTTAAAAGGGACAATGTTAAATAAAGCGAGAGATACCCGCTGGATGAATATCTCCCGCACTATTTGTCCGGTCGCCGGACGTATAGACACTGTCTTGTTTTTATCGAAGCTAACCGTGATCTCCAAATCATTTTTTAATCAATTGATCTGATTGGGATTCATCCTTTTAATAGGCTAAAAAATCATTCAGTTGCATTGTGTCTTTTTTGTTTTGTTAAAGCTTAACTTAATTAAATGGATAAATCTATTGAAAGTGGTGGGTACAGTTATGTTAATAGACAAATTTTAACAAACCCCCCCCCACCTTTTAATAGGCTAAAAAATCATTCAGTTGCATTGTGTCTTTTTTGTTTTGTTAAAGCTTAACTTAATTAAATGGATAAATCTATTGAAAGTGGTGGGTACAGTTATGTTAATAGACATATTTTAACACCCCCCCCCCCCAAGAAAACCCCCCAAAAAACATACGACTGCAGCTAATAGTAAAAAGCAATGAATCTATGACATCCATGTCTAATTTCTTTGTTAAAGAAACAGACTATTCAGTGATCAGATCGGAAGTTTTATTGACCACCTTTCTTATTGAAGGAAATCTTTCTCTAGTCAGCTCCGATCATTTAAATGCCAGAGTCAAACAAATATTTCCAGACTAGCAGATTGCTGGAAGATTGTGAAGAAAAATTACAATGAAACAAGGGCACGCATGAAATTTGATACTCTTTCTAACTTGTTTGTACAAGTTGTAAATAAAATCAGTTGCAATGCTAACCTTCAGTTGTCTAAAGAGCTGTTGAACAGGTGTAAAAAGGCCACTAGGGATCTGCTGGAAAACTGAACTCTTTGCAGCCTGTGTGCAATTGTAAATAAAATGTAAATTCTGTTCTGTATACAAACATTTCCAGTAATGTTTTTCTCATGCTCTTTCGTGTTCTGTGGACTCTGCAAAGACAATGGAGGGAACTTTATAATACTTTATTTACTAAAAAAGGCTTGTGAGTTAGTATATAGATCTTAAACCACCACCCCCCATGGGCGCCACCCCCTGGGGGCAGTGGCCCCACTTCCCCCTGCGTGCACCCCTCTACAGTTTATTTTTCTTGGCAGGTCTGTGGCTGCCATCTTGATTGGCGTGACAGCAAACATTTTGTCTTACAAACCCAACAATAATATTGAAAATAGCTTTTTATTCCGAACCTCTCGCTTCTGATACCTGGGTGCGAATAGTCACTTCGAAAAATAAATCTACTAAATTTTGATACTGTCAAATTCAAATTTTATAGTTTTTTTATTCTCACAACAGAAATAATTAGTTTTTAAGCCAACTTTTGAAAAATATGACAATTTACACAAATATTTTATTTTCTGTTTTTATTTATTTACAGATTTTTTTTTTATTAAGCTATGGTCTTACTAAACTTGAACTAAAAATAATTACAAAAGCACAACTGTCATAGATCAACAGATGTTAAGTTCCATTTATAAGATTGAGTGTCAAATAGATTGTTACTCCTTCTCTTTTTTATTATGTCTACACTAAGACAACTCCCATATCTTTGAGATGCTTTTAAGAAAGTGTTAAAGTATGGTTGATAGAAGCTTAAAACATTCTAAAAAAATTATTCTTGTTAAATCTATGAGTACAAAACACTACCAGTGTAGGATATTTTACTATGGCGTTCTTAGTCTTTAATTGATCAAAAGAGAAAATCTAATAACAGTACACTTGCTGTGTGTAAATTGTGAGTAGGTGAAGTGGTAGATTTTTTTTCTGGATTAATATCTGATTTAAAGAGTTGTAACTGTAAGTTGGTACTTGTAAACTAACTAATTTCTGAAGTAGAATGTATCCATTGTTCTATTTGCCTTCAAATAATTCTGGCATATTCATGTTCTGACGCACACTAGACATGGAAGATTCCTCTAATGAAATAAATTTTGAAAATTTCACTTGAATGTATTGCTATTTAATTGTTTGTACAATCTCTCCAATCCCAGCATGCTTCTGTACCCTGAAATGTTTTCTGGCCTGTTGCAACACATAAACTACATGACTTACTTTTGTGTTTGCTTTGGCACAGGTGAGTTGAGTTTGCTAGCTTTGTAATGCCAATGTGATGCATTTATATTTAGTTGGATTTTATTGTTTAATTTTTAAAAACAAATTTAATGTTTGGGGTACTGCAATTATTAATTTAAATCGATTAAGGAAAATTGTAACTAATACCTCAAAGTAGACCTGGGTGAAAAATTTTGTAATCTTTATTTAATATTTAAAAGAGTATACAAAAGTTAATATTTAGAATCAAAATTTATACAGTGTTCAAATTTCTGACGTTAACATTTTAAAGAATAACAAATGTATTTAGCACCAAAAAAACTAATTATTGGTTCATTCATTACTTTTAGGATATTTTTTCTATGACATGCAAGATCTGATATTGAACAACCGGTTGTTTGCTATGTGGGAAGTTGTTTTACACCATATTGCAGTGAGTATTAAAGCTCTTCTTAAAAATTAGCTTCTACTTTTACCCTAAGACAGGAACAGATACCATATATACAATTAATGCATATAGTAAACTCCCCTCTGCAGCTCACTTTTGTGCTCACAGTGGTCTACTGTAGATTAAAATTGATTGAGACTGTGAAAATTGATGGATCAGAGCTCAGCAACCTTTTTAAAGCACACCGTAGTCCTTTCCAAGAATTCTGCAGCACACGTCAAGTAAAAACATGCAGAAAATATTGAGTGCATGAAATTAACATTGGCCAATTGAATTTTTAAACTAAATAAGGCAAAAATATTTAGCATTCATAATGGCCTGTTATGCTAAAAGGTGTCATATTGCAGTGAACTGTTCCTTATATCTCTCTGTATTGGAAAAATTACTGCTGACGCAGTGTTTGACAGCTTGGTTAAAGGCTAAACCAGGGGTGCAGGCCTTTTCATGTTGGATGGCGCCATTCAAAATACTTCAATTATATATACAAAAAAAGTGTGTCATTTATTAACATGCAACAATGTACAAATATATTTTAGTCCAAGAGTTTTAGAAATGCAAAATCTGATACAGATCCAAGTAGTGGAGGTGTTAAACACACACTTCAGGACTGTGCTCTAGTGACATTGTTCGCCACCGCAAAATATATCATACACCAATATGCATGTAATAACCTACTACAGTGTTATTAGAACTAATTTGGTGTTTTTTTGTTTTCCCAGTATTTATTTATTATTTATTTAGGCATTTTATATAGTGCTTACCTTAAAGCTCTAAGCGCTTTACAATTATTAAAAACATGTAAACTAACTAAAATAAAAATGAGACATTAGGATAGTAACTACTATACTATAGAAACAATTAAAATGGCTATAAAACGAGGACACTTTGGCACATGGAATTTTAATTTTAAAATATTATAGGATTTGTTTTGTAAAATTTGGATTCAGCCAATAGGTCTCACTTGAAGATGTAGGAGGCTGCATGGGGCTGCAGGTTCCCCACACTTATGATAACCAATGTCCCTGTGTAATCAAAATTTTTTTAGCATACATTCCTACATATGCTATAGGCTTTTTGTCCTCTTGGAGGCATTTTGTACTGCATATGTAATATTATCTTGCAGTACAATGTTGCTGAACTCTGGTTCAGATGATCCATCAATTTTTTATTAAATAAAAATAATGTAAAATGTATTCAGTAATCATAGATCTATGTGCATCTGCAACTCTAATAATATGTATTTGAGGAGTCTTATTTAGTTTTCACTTAAATGGTGAGATATATATATATATATATATTTTTTTATGCTAAAGTAAAATAAAGGTGAGATGATAGTGGGAAAACTAATAATGTTATGCAGTGTCTGTAATCTGTGATTAATTGGGCCAAGTACTTAATTTATCAATATTAGAATCAATACATATACCTTATGTTTAAGATATAATAATCTCCTTATGTTTTCAGGTGGCCAGCATGTTTTATTACAATGTACATATACGAGCACACATTGGGTTCAGCATAGTAGCACTTAGCGTGGAAGTCAACTCTTTATTCCTTCACTGGAGGAAACTGCTGCAGATGGTAAAAACACCTTATGACAGTCCTAAGTACCTCATCATTAAGTATATTAACCTGAGCACCTTTGTTGCATTTCGAGGTGTCCCCCTCTCAATGATCACATATTGTTGCTTTGTATGGCGTCACAAAGTATCCATGATGTACTACATAGGAATTTGTCTCAGCATGTTTGTCATGGATGTACTGAATGTCATTTTGCTCTCGAGGCTGTTCAAGAGCGACATTCTTCGTAGTTCCAAAGGAGGGCCAAGTTCCATTTGTTCAACTCTGCGACGAGATTGTGCATCATTCAATGGCTACAGTACAAATGGCCATGTCGTTCATAATAACGGTAATCATATTTCCAACAGTATTAAAGAGTCAGTGAAAAAGGAAAATTGACTAGATGGTGATGTCTAAAGGATGGAGATCACTAAGGTGCTTGAATACATATTTGCATATTTAAGATATAAAAATTAGTCCTTGTGAGCTTATCTGGAGTTTTGAAATATGTTGTTTTATGAATAGTATAAATAACTAAGCATGATCCATGTTTTTTTTTTTTTCTACTCCATTAAGGGTTGCATTATTATTGCTGCCCATGGTTTGATTGAAGACTTCTGTCAGAGAAAAAATTTTAAAAACATTTTACTGTGCAAACAAAATCATTATTGAAACTGGTGTTTTTTTTGTGTGTATGTAAAAAAACATTTTAAAAATAATCAAAATATGTCCTCTTGTGCAATCGATAATACACAGTTTTATCATTAATTGTCGGATTACTTTATAAAAATATTAATTTAATTTAATTTGAGGGGGGGGGGGTTAAATATTTAATAAAAGTTTAAAAAATCAACTTGTCCCTTTATCCAGTGTTTCCCCAAAATTGTCATTCAAGGCATGCAGTATAACATTCAAATGGTAAACGGCAAGAAGGAAAAGATCAAAACTGCAATATTATGATTTTAAAATGTCCATTTTAAAACATTTTAAAAGCAATTAATTCTTTGATGTGGTCATAGAATCATTTAAGTTTTATTTTTATGAAAATTTTATACATATATTTATCTTGCTTCTTTAAAATGTTTAATGTATGCATTAAAAAAAAGATCTGTCTGTATATTGTGTATGAACTTTAATATTGAAACTAAATAATTATAATTGAAAGCATTAAAATTCTAAAATAAAATTATTCTCTCAATTATGAGTATAAATCGTTAAAAAAATATTAAAATTTTAAAAAATTTGTTGAAATGTTCAACTCCTAATAAAGTGATTTGTTTTTTTTCCTCTCTAAAAAAAAATATCATTTTATTATGCCCGGCATATTGGTAAAATGCAAGTTATATAATTTCAAATTTCAGAAGCAAAGTGTTCGTGTAGTGTACACATGTGTCCAGACCCCTCTCCATACTCACATGTGTGCAAAATCTTTTAATCTGACCAAAAAAACCATCACTTCTCTTAAGCTTGTGCGTAATATATTAAGGCTCATAATCTATCATAATGGCCAGTTTTACAAACATTTTGCATAACATTTTAAAATAGTTTACAGAAAACAGTTTGAGAACTGTTGGCTTACTGACATATTGTTAACCGTTATATTTTTTGATCGTGTAGCAGGTGTGTTTTTCTTTTATTTTATCATACAAGTGCAGACATAAAATGTTCCTCTTGACGTCACTGATGTAAATTATTATAGATTGAAAATATCCCGTGTCATTTAACAGCTCTGGTCAATATTTTGTTATAAACTTTTACTTCGGTCAAGAATTTCTTCTACACTGTTATATTTGAACTTATTTTTATATACGTATTCAAGGAATGGCTATTGCTATTTAACAACTTTTTTTGAAGGGAAAAAAAAATGTTCTTTAATTGTTGAGGGTAATTTTTGTTTATGTTACAAAGAAAATTACTTTAAAAAGCTTTTTAATAGAGCCCATTGTTAAATGTGTTTTTCATAATTGTATTAATAGGTTATGGCATGGCTCAGCATTAAATGTACATCTGTAATTGTAATCAAAGATGCATCAGGACTCTGTGTTCTCCATAACTGCTGTGTGAGCTAAAGCAAAACAGCATTATTATTATACACCAGCAAGTTCAGAATTAGTCTCATCCTGTAATGCTCACCTACACATCACAAGTCTTGATTTTCAGCATTCCAAACAAAAGGAAAAAAATGGTTTCTGGTTTTTTGTTTTACTTCTTGTATATTCCTGTCTTGTCATTATAAATATCTTTTGTATTCATGAAAGTAAACTTTAGCTGTTACTTTTTATTGATATTTTTTCTGTTAAAAAATATTATTTTGAATGATCCTTGTGTAAATTAATTTCTCTTATTGTTCATGAGAAACAGTGCTTGCAGATTCAATTCAGTGTGTAAGATAGTAGCAGCATATTGCAAATATTTGTGGTTAACCTTGAATTATATTATCTGCAAGATAAATAAGTTAGCCTTTGGTCTTAAGTTTTAGATCAACTGTCTTGATTAGTCGTTAATAAAATATTTATTCCCCCCCCCCCTTTTTTTTTTCCCTTTTCAATTTTTTTTATTGAATTATATTATCTGTAAGATAAATAAGTTAGACTTTGGTTTTAAGTTTTAGATCAACTGTCTTGATTAGTTGTTAATAAAATATTTATTCCCCCCCCCCCCTTTTTTTTTTCCCATTTCACTATTTGTTTGTCCACACCCTTAAAACTGTAGTGTATTCTGCTTCTAAGTGATCCCCAGTCTTGGAAGTTGAGCCTAAATTTCCCCACCCACCCCACCCCCTTCTTGTGGTTACTCCAAAAATAGCTCCAATTTAAGTATAATTTGGTTTTGCTTTAAGATAATCTTTGTGGATGTTTAGGTGTAAAAGAAACTGGTAAAGGGCACAGCTGTTTGGTTGGTAACCCAAGGGCTTGCAGAGGAGTTGTACCCTTTAGGGCCTTGTGTCAAGATGGCACATCCTTAAGTTTCTTTTGTATTGATATTTTGCATTTGTCTATTTATTCCTGTCATTAAAATGATGCCATCAGAGAGTGGTACATTTCTTATCAAACTAACCAAGATTTTGTTGACATTGCTTGTAAGATTTTTCCCTGTTGAGCTCACACTTGTTTGTAGCACTCTGTCAAGACTTGCTTTCCTTTCCCAGATATGTTCATAACATTCAAGAAATACTTTAGAATCTTTGCTTACTGCTCTGAATTGGTTATTAAGGAGTCTTTTTAAAAAAGGACCGTTATTTGTTCACAAACTCATTTTGATGCCTGTCCCACATGGAATGCTGCTTCTGCTCCTTGCACTCACACTTAACATTCTCCACATACTGTCCCTATATCAGTATCTCCACCCCACCACCAAAATGCATAATGTTTTTTATTTATTTATGGAGACAAGCAAGGATGGCATTTCCAGTGGAATGATTGTGATATCTGACCTAGATTGGCTAATCAGTTGCAGTTGTTCTGCTTTTTCCATTTATAGCCTCTGAGTCTGAGGTCCTCACACATTTCTCACCCCTACACTAAATCTATCTGATTTTTAAAAAAAAAATTTAATTAGCTTTTGTTATCAATATAGCTGGTCTGTCAAATAATAGTAAAAAATCAGTGAGGAAACATTGACTACGTTATTTGCATCACACTTGAAATGTCAGCTAAATTTGAGCCATCAGGGCTAATTTACAATTTCTATTACTTGCCTTAAAATCAAAATTGTTGGTCACTCATGTTTTCTTCATTTCTAAAATATGATATATAAGTTAACAACAGTAAAAAGACCCCCCTCCTCTCTCTCTCTCTTTCCTCACACCTTTTGATTCATTTTACCACATACAAAAAGAAATTAATGAACCTTTGTACCATATTGCTCCTGAACACATGTTGTTTACTGTGCTTGAAGCTACAGTGAACCAATAATTTATTGGTGTGCACCATCTTGCTCATGTTATGAGGTAATTAACGCTGTTGCTGAATGCTTGTATGTCAGTATATGACAGCTGAATTTACACAGTCAGGAGTTGAGTAATTGCTCTGGGCTAATTTAAATGCATTTTTTTTGTTAATTGCACTAAGGGTTCTCAGACATTTTACAGTTTATGGAAAACATCATGGGGTTGTTACATTTCTGAACACTAATGTATGAAATTGACTTATTTGTTTCACTGGAACCCACCCTCAGTTTTTTGCCAATATAATTTAAGATAACCAGTATTTTGCCCAACATAGTTCCATATACTCAGAATTTTGGCCATTGTTATGCCATATAACCAGAATTGGTGGCCCACATAATGCCATGTAACCAGAACTATGATTTTAGTCCATAGGGAAGTCTTGGTAAACAAAACAATTTATGGCCAAAATGATCCATTAAGGTTCTGAAATGAAAATACTGCTCCATCAAAGCACTTTTTTTTTCTTTGCATAAAATTCACTTGATCCATTAAAATTAAAACCTAACCAAACCTAAGACTTTCTAAATTGAATTATTTATTTGCTAATTCTATAGTTCTACGCTAGTGATCAAACATAAACAGAATCCGTGTCGGCTGTTTAGTAGTGTAATCAAGCATCTGATGAAGCAATGATCAACATGATTGGCTGGTCTTCATATACAGGGCAGTTTGTCAATTCAATTTGTATTTAACTGTATGTTTGTGTACCTTTATAATTGTATAATCAAGCTGAACTGTTTTTTTAAATTATTTATGTCTTTTTAATCCAGGGTGATAAAAAGAATTAGTCAAAATAATTTTCGATATCTTCATGTTACCAAAATGTGTATATATTTTTATTACATTCTTTAAATTTGAGTGAAGTCCTTGCAGACATGGGCAATGTTGAAAATTTACATAATTTTTGAAATTTTTATACAGCTGAGGCATCAAAAGTTTTATATTAGTTAAAAATGGTAGCAGATGAAAAGCACATTAAAAACCTATGATTGTTGTGGAACAAAGCAAATTAAATATGTTGCTCTAGACCTCTGAAATTCTTAACACCTGTTTTTTACCAGGCTGACCTGACTGGGCAAACATTAATTTCTTGAATCTCTACAGCCTTACACAAGACCATGTAGCTTCTATTAAGTCGCTTCCCCTTGCCACCTCATCAAGTCTAAATGACTAAGTTTCAAGTGTGTCAATACAATTGATAAAAAGCAAAAATATACTAGGTACCAGGGTGTTATTAATTTTCATACTTAAAGTTAACTTTTTAAAAAAAAAAAAGTTTCCTTTTAATTAGCATCTGGAAAATCTGGAGCTGATTTTACATTCATTTTTTATTCTAATCAGTTTTTATTTGATCTTTCATAAACAATAGCTGGGTGTTTTTTTTTCTGTTGTCCTAGTATATTTGCTGAAAAGTTATCTGAATTGATCGCTGTAGATAGTTCCCTGCGTAGTAAGTATATAGGTATGGCGGTACAATATTAAATTTGTTGTTTCATTTGATTTGTTCTGATATAGGTAGATGCAAATAAGTCATTGTTGTTGTTTTTTCACGTACCTGATTATTTAACTGTAAATAAATAAATTTAGCAATAATTATTTTAATCAGAGCAAAATCAAACAATAAAAATCAGCAAATTTTTTTTTAATAAGTAGCTTTTTTGAGGATTTTTTCCATACAAATATTGCTGCTTATTTTATTATCAATCATAATATCATTTTGTGGCATGTTTTCAAATGTTCTGATTACATGCTTCAAAAGCTGAGTAATATTTTTTTTATTGGTGTTAAAATGCTAATACTAGTTTGCGATAATGAATTATTGGCTGACATAATTGATCTCAATAACTGAATTACTTGATATCCACTTAATTTCATTAATCTAATTTTATTTGGCTAAAATATGTGTGCTCTGGTTCATGGGAATGTATTTTTCATGCTTTGCGAACCCTTTTCAAGTATTGCAATGCTTAATATAGGTATATTTAAATCTTCTATACGGTTTGGTGCACCACATAGCTGCCATAATATCATGTGTCAAGTTGTCAGTAGAGACAGGTCTCCAAAAAACATATAAAGTGAACATATTTTTAAATTGGCCTAACAGCTGTAACTGTAACAAGATATTGTTACATTCAATATAAGTGAAATTTTGATTCACTTTCAAATGTGGAAATTTGTCATAAAACAACTGTGTTGCCAAGTGTATGTTCGGTGTGTACTCTTGACGTAAGTTCAAAAGCCTCTTATCAATTATTCACCCTCTGACTCTGATATGGTTCAACTATTAACATAAATCAGCATAGAGATTTTGTTATATTTCAAGCCTTCAGAATGAAATACCTCACTGGATGAAACCAAAGTAAATTTGATGACCATTGACATCAAATATTTGTCTAGGAATGTCAGTATTAATGGCTTGTTACTGTTACAACTTGAGAATTTAATAATGTTAAGTAATTAATGTTGTTAGAAATTTTTTTCTTTAGTTATGGCAGTGCACAGGGTGATTAGTAGTGCAGAGGAGTAGAAGGTATGGAGAATGCTTTAAAATAAGAATTTCTGGCAAATAGGTTAATATTAAATGTGCAAGATTATAACGCTCAAGAATATGATTCTTCTGCTGTGTTCTGGAAAATCATGCCTGTCACTGGGCACTGTGATGTTTTCACTAGCATTATTAAATTTGTGAAATCTTGATTATTTTTCTTGTCTACTAGCTAGATGGAATAATAAAGTTAACTGCAATGCATTCAAACATAAACATATCTTTGTGGGTTTTTAAAAAATGTGATCTTAGCTTCTTCAACCCAATAATTATTTATTATCTATTTGGTGTTTAGGGAGAAACGCTTTAACTTCTGGTATATATATATATATATTACCTATTTAAACACGCATTTGTAAAAGTCTGAATAGATTAGAAAAATCAGCACCATTAGACACCTCCTCTCCTTTGATGCCACAAAAACTCTCGTCTCTTCACTCATTCTTTCAAAATTTGACTACTGTAACATTCTTCTCTCAGGCATTCCTCAACACCACATAGAAAAACTTCAGAAGGCACAGAACTCAGCATGCAGACTCATTTTTAAATCAAAGAAACATGACCACATTCAACCACACATGCGGCAACTCCACTGGCTTCCAATATCCTCTCGCATCAAATACAAGTCTGCCAATCTTTGCTTCAACTCGTTCACTGACCCTCACTTTCCTGTCTATCTCTCTGAACTGTTGCTTCCTTACATCCCCACAAGACAACTACGTTCTTCCATTGACAGTAGAACCCTCTCAATCCCAAGAACTAAAACTAAGACCATCGGTGAACGCTCCTTCTGCTTCCATGGGCCCACGTTCTGGAACCAGCTCCCCTTCCATATACGTCATAGTGAAACCTCGTCCATTTTCAAAAAGTCCCTTAAAACTCATCTGTTTAGGTCCGCCTATGACCTGTGATGCACCCTCCTTGCCCTACCTCATTTTCTGTTTCGGGTTGATCCTGAAGTGTCAAAGTGTCCTCGTTTTATAGCCATTTTCATTGTTTCTATAGAATAGTAGTTACTATCCTAGTGTCTCATTTGTATTTACTTAGTTTACATGTTTTAATAATTGTAAAGCGCTTAGAGCTTTATGATAAGCGCTATATAAAAATGCCTAAATAAATAAATAAATAGCTTTTCTTGTCTGCTAGCTAGATAAAATAATAAAGGTTACTCCAAATCAAATGTATTAAAATTTATGTGTCATGTTATATGTTACCTATTTAAACACGCATTTGTAAAAGTCTGAATTGTTTTTCTAGTCTTCTAGCTAGATAAAATAATAAAGGTAATTCAAAATCAAATGTATTAAAATATAAACTTTATGGCTATAAATTTATGTCATGTTAATGTTATATATTAGTTATTTAAAAAACTTTTTTTTTTATTAAGTGATGTGAGCTATTTATAACCTATATTTTACTCCCTATTTACAATGTTCAAGATCATACTGTGTTAGAGCTGTATCATTTGAATTGGGAGGCTTGACATGCTGTTTTGAAATATTTTTGCCAATCTGGGCTTATGTTTCTTAGTTAAATTTGATAATGCAAATGAAATGTTTGAATTTACTAAATTTAATGGGTTTTCTAGTAATAATTTCAAGCTTATCATTTATGCTATGACACTATTACCTAAGATTTTCTTACACCATGAAATACAAAATACAATTGACTAAAACATTTCAAAATAAGGGTAAGATTCTAGAAATATATTAAATTCAATACACACTTCTTTTTGGTTCTTGTATCTCATGTTTCCCCTAACTTGGTTGAAAGAGAAATTAGTCCTGATGCCTCTGCCTTCAGACAACTCATCCCTAGAGCAGTATGTGTTTAACATCTATTTATCACTATGGTAATAGAGCTTTGGGTTCATTTGATCATATATTTTTTTGTTTAAATAAAAAATTAACTTTTACAAATTTGATTAGATTGTTTCTAGTGTTATGCTTCTTCTGGATATCTTAATTTTTGCTTCGACTATGCACACTATTTAATCATGTATTGCCCTTACCCACTGCATTGCATAATTTCCACTAATGGAATGTGACATGTTTTAAAAAAAAAAATACATGTTAGTTTGTGTAAATTCAGATTTTGTGAGTTGGCCACAAGAATAAGTGAGTCAGAAATGGTGATTTTAACACTACTTCTAGAGCTTTATACATTTTCTTTTCCATAAAATTGAAACATTTGGGAAAGTTAGTACAAAACACTGAGACATATTTGTCAAGTTCACTTTGCTATCTAGACTAATAGATGCCTGCTCATTGTTCATACCAAAATGAGAACTGCTGTTTTGAAGTTCAGCTTTATAATTTATATGGTGAGAGGTACAGTTTGAGATAATCAATATACCAACTTTGGGCCTATCTGGACCATCCATTTAATCTTGTCAGTTGGAGGAATATTTATGAATTTGGAAAATAAAATATTAAATTATCTCCTGATATCAAGCAGTCATTCTCAGCACATGCTGTCCCATAATATTTGTACTGAGCCTGGTTAACTAAAGAATTAGAGCTTAGAGTTTTTCAATTATTCTTACATTTTGTAATCTTTAATTACAAGTTTTGGAATAATGGACAAAAAAAGAGGCCTTAAATTGAGCTTATTGATCTCCAGTCAGGCAGAATACATCACTGTATTGATTTACTGTAAAGAACTTTTTTTTATGAAACAGCTCTTAAGCTGGTTGTTATTAGTTTACATTTAAAAACATAAGTATAGGCATATAACTAAATAAAAAATACCTAAAAATACTCCAATTGGAGTGTTTGAAAATCTATTTAATGATGTGCAAATGCACTATAAAATGTCTAGTGTAAAGAACAAGGCACACACAAAAACAAAGCAACAGCTGCCAGGTTCCAAGGTGTGCATAATGTTATGTGAAGCAGTAGTTGCATAGGTATATTATTGTTTCATATGTGCTCCTGTAATGTTTATATATATATATATATATATATATATATATATATATATATATATATATATATATATATATATATATATACAGGCTTGTTTACTCTTACGATTTTGAGGTGTTTACATTATATATACTTTGTTTATTTTTTTACTATTAAGATAATGTATTGAACGATTTTGTCATGATATTGTACGATTTTAAGAGTTTGAGGGTAAATAGGTCTGTGTGTTTGTATATATATATATTATATAATATATATATATTATATATATATATATATATATATATTAGACATTAAATAGGAAAGGTCAACAATCACTCATGATTTGTAATTTATCATACGAATATATAAATATAACATCCCTATTTTTAAATAAAGGAAAACTTTTTAAGTCTCTTGTTGTTTATTAAATTTACTTCATCCATCAAATTCATTTGAATTTCAAAATAAAGTTAGCATGAAAATTTCTAGACATCATAAATGCTTAGTGATTTTTTTGCAAGATTTAGAATTGACTGATGAAATTATTATAAAAGGAATTGAGGTGTGGCTCTTGGCCCTACAAGCTAGTAGATTTGGTCTCCAGTCCATCTTCAAAGACATAGATCAACTTAAAATAAATGTGTGTTATATAGATATGGCCAATTTAGTCAAGCCAATTAATTAGAAATGGGCCAATTTGCAAAGCTAATTTGATCAAATTCAAATAGAAAAAGATGGCATGATTTGAAAACAATTCATTTTTGGCATCCTTCTGACACAATTGAGTAGCTTCTGTATAATTGGCACTCTGTCAAGTGGTTTGTGAAGGCTGATCTGTTTTCTTTTATATTCTGCATTGCTCTTGTTACATTTTGCTTGTTGGATTCCAACATTGGCTGCTGTTAATCACCCACTACAGTGATCAGCAATACTCTCCTGTTTGCCAATTTTGATGTAGGCTCTCCTCATGTTTCTTTTACATGTCTTTACAGCCCAGCTATGCAATATGTCTTGTCCCCTCTGAATTTTTTTCATATAGCACTCCCTGCAAAATATGACCTTTCTCCATTCTGTTTTCATGGCCTCACCACCCAAGGGCCTCTTACTGAGAGAGAACCCTTGTGTTAGGCACCTTGTCCTGCCACCCATGCATTGAAATGGCCACAGATATCTTATGTGATAGCTGTAAAAAAAACTTTAATAGGATATGATAAAATAATGCAAACAAGAAATTGGATAGGTTCAATTTAGATTTGTATTGTTTCAGCAATGTTTTTAACAAAGAAAACATGGGTTGGATGAAAAATTGTTACAGATAAAAATAAATAATATACAGCCAGACTTTACTTGAACACTCCTTTACAAACAACATTCTTTCCATGCAAAAATACTACATATTCTCATAACCATCAGTTCTATTACTTAAATTTATGTATGTTAATATATAGCTAAATAAAATTATTTAAAATGCAAAACTTATTGAAAATAGAATGATCAACAAATTGATCGTGGGCACCTCAAATATAAGAAGAAGAAGAAGTCACTCTTAATGATTAATAAAGACAGGAGTGGTGTATTTAGAAGACCCTCATGACCTGGCTCCAACATCAGGGTTAAAAAACTGGCTAATATTAACAATATTCCATGCTGTTTTTTTAATAATTTAATTTTATATTTAAATGAAAATTAGACAAATGTAATTTCAATAAAATAAGTTTCATGGGTCTTAATATTTGTTTTTAAGCACTATTGACCTTCTATACTCAAGAAAAAGGTACCACATGATTTTTTAAAATGTCAAGCAGTTTTATCAACCTTAACCAAGTAGTTTTCACAATTTTAAACTAAACTTTCATCTAATTAAGGTAGCACCTGCACAGCTATATCATTCATCAAATAAACATTAACACCAGTATCCTTTTGTTTCATGTCAGAGTAACATCTCCAGTTCTACTGATCTGGCACAGTTTTAGGGCTCGAAGTATCTGCACCAAATAGAAAAAAGAAATATGCTCATGAGAAGGAAAAATCTGCTAACACTGAATAGTTGTTTTTATAAGCTATAGCAGGGGTCACCAAACTTTTTTAACAGCCGGCCGTATAATCATTCTGTACAATACTTGGAAGCCAGAACCAAAGTTCTGATAAAAAAGACGAAAAGCTAAGTTATGTTAACCATGGGTGAGTTGCGAGCAATGCACAAAAACAAAGACAACCAAAATATTTATTTACCAAAAACTTTGTCAAAGAAGGCGATGTTAACTAAAAGATGGTTACATCAGACCTAGTGCGCACTTATTCTAGCTCATAATATGTTTGATCACAGACAAAAGTTGTTCCAAACACTGATGTCACACCAGCAGCAAATTTCTTCAGTTTCAGAAACTCAACATACAAAGTGACACCACAAGTAAACACGAGAAGTTGTGACATATCGAGAGATCAGTAGACTCATCTAGCGCCAGAGAATGCCACAGCAAGTTCCTAGCTTTCTCAAGTATCTGTAGCACTATGTTCTCTTCTTCATGTTCTTCTGTTCTCCGTGGTGAGAACGATGTTTAATGCCCAGTATGTTTCCAATAATCTTCTTCCATTTATCCAGTTAAAATACTATAATATATTAGCGGGAATAGGCTTAATTGATATTGATTCTAATTTTATTATTTTTTTAAACCAGCTTTTCCTAAAAGAACAACCTCAAGTTACTTGGTAGATTTTTAAATGATGTTATAATTTGTCAATTAATTCTTATTGAAATACATTTTGTTTTATTCTGATCTGATTTCAAGTTAGAACCACGTTAAATTTCAACAGTAACTTTATTTTTACCAGTGACAGACTGTGATAGTGTGATCTGTATTTCCACTCAATATAAATAAATATCTATATCAGATGCAAACGTGAGCAAAAAAAAAAGTGACCTGCAGATTGCAATATAAATGTAAGTCATCTACTTTTAGAAGTTAACTTTTTTTACGCCAGCTTAACTCGATCCCGCTAGTCACTGCCATGCCAGTAGCTATTTTATTCATTATAATATACTGTATGTTTATTTATTTACTATTACTATTAAGATACCATACCATTATACGATTTTGAGACAATTATGTGCTATTTTAGGAGTTTGAGGGTAAACAGGTCTGCAATAAACAAGAAAATCTAGATACAATCATTTAAAATTGAAAATGGTAAATTTAAGGAGCCAGAGCCAGAAGGGCTCATCGCATGTGAAGAGCCCCTAGTTTTCTAAATATAATAAGCAAATTCAAATACCGTCGGCGAGCCGGATAAACTGACATACGCGGGCCGCATCTGGTCCACAGGCCATAGTTTGGTGACCCCTGAGCTATAGCTATAAATTAAAATTGAATTAAAATAGATTTCATAAATTTGATCATTAATAAAACTTCATCCGTATAGATCATTTTGTTGAAAATATCAAATTGCTGTTACTTCACAAGGAAGATAATCAAATAAGCAGAAGCGATCATCAAGGTCAGTTTAACGTTTATTTTTGAGAACAACATGGAGCATGACTAGACACCATAAAAAACGTGACATCACTACACAACAAACAATGTGGGCGTGAAAAACAATGCATAATCAACATTTAGTATTTTGTCATTTTCCAACACATTTTACCTTTAGTTTAGCCTCTCCAGTGGCACCAGTTACTCTCAGACCCATAGAATTCATTTCCTTAGGGGTCAGTGCCTCTCTATGGAAGATAAATTACGAAGACTTGAGATTACTACTTTTGTAAAATTATGAAATTGTAACTGATTTGACAAATCAAATATTACTAAATAACCCCCCCCCCCCCCCNAAAAAAAATTTTAAAAAAAACCCCCCCCCCCCCCCCCCTTTTAAAAAAAAAAAACAGTTTAAAAAAAAAAAAGGAATGGACAAAAATAAATCCAAACAATCGTATTAAATAATGCTTTCCTAAATGTGATGAGTAGCCCTAAATAAATAATCCCTCGAGGCAAGTTGAACATTTTCATGCAGGGGATCCGTGCATGCTGGCTGGAGGATATTGTAATAACAAATAGTGAGTTGCCAATTGGTAGTTTTTTTAATGGGACTTGAGACACAGTCCTTCCACCTTATATTTATTTCAAAAAAGATAATATAGGAAAAAAGGGATATATATATATATTTTAAAATGGCAATCAATAGTAATTTGTATCACAGATAAAAGTTCAAACTGAGGGGTACCGTATTTTAACAAATAATTACCCCAATTCTGAGGGGTATTATACTTCACTTTTTCAATATTAAAATTGTAAACATTTTTTTTTTTTTCCTTTTACAGACAAATTCTAGCTACTCCTACAATTATAATACAGGAACTAAAGTAGCTAAAACTTACTTGTTCCTTTCCTCCTTAAAATGATCCCATAGAATTTTATAGGCCTGAAAGGTAAAAAATTAAAAGAATTTTAGAGCTTTTTTAAAATTTCTCATTTAAAAAAAACAATGACTGAATATTATTTAATAAATTAAGTGGCATTAGTAGTTGTTATACAAACAAATGAGAGTTGAAAAAAAAGCAGAGCCAGTTAAATGCGGTTTTCAAGAACAAATGTGTTAAATTTACATTGCAATTTTTAAAAAATAAATTTTAACTGTTCACTCATCTTTTGTTTCTCACAAAACTCACTTTATTAACATCATCAAGTTTTGCACGGCCACGAATAAGCTCAGATACTGACATAAATTCATCGTGATCTATTTCTATAAATGTGGAGTTGTTTGCTCTCCTGTCACAGGCAGATACTGTTGTGTTCTCTGCTACAACAAAGTATAGCAATATAAAATGATTAAAATATTTGTTGTCATTTTAGTTTTTAGGCCTACTTAATGAAATTCAGCTGAAGTATCTAATTTTTAATTTTTTTAAAATTTCAAAGCTGAATCTGATCATTAAGAAAGCTATTTTCTGTTTTAATCATAGCCTAGATGGTTGTGGGGGTTAATAAAATAAGATTTACAAACAGCATTAAATAGGGTAAAAAAAACAACAACTTTTGCAACGTCAATGATGTAAATTAAAGAAAATAACTTTAAAAAATTGATTTTTTTTTTGGGTGCTGTTTTCCAGATGTCTTATAGGTGCTAAACATTTTAATTATTGTCTTCCATCAGTAAAAAACCCTGCATAAAAGCTGTATTTTCAAATTGCCTGCATATTTATAAAGTTAATATAACTTGTTTGTGCATTAAAAAAAAAATCTGCATTACCGGTACTAAGAATTTACACACTGGATTATATCTACCTTCTTTCTTTTGCTTTTCACCATTTCCATGTGTTGCCTTTTTTAATGTAACAGGTGCAGGGTCACTTGATGTTTCTGAATGCTGGCAAGATGTTTTTTCTGGCTCGGGGTTATCAGATATGGAGGGCTCTTTGTGTGTTGTAGGTAGCAGGCTGTCTTTTGGAATACCCATCAAAAGAGACAGTTCCATAAATTGGTTTAGTGTTTCTTCAGCCAATTCTGGATTTTGCTGAACATTTCAAAAATAATATGCAGATGAAAGAGAAAAAAAAAAATTATTAAGAAAGTCTAAACATTCAGTGTTTTGACCTACTTGCATGCCAAGTAATATAATTCTCCTATATTTTTTACCTGGTTTTAGCCATATATGTATGTGTATGTCCCACTAACAATTTTTGCCTGGTTTCCCTGGTTATCATCAAAAGACACAAAATTGCACATGTTCAAAATGGAATGGACCATCGAGAGCTTAGTTTAACTTTTATGTTCAAATTAGTATTGCTCAAAATAAGGCTTTTACCCTATTGGTCCTTTCAAAGTGACCTTTAGTCTGTGTATTATACAAAAATAGAAATAGGGTTACGGTTCTACCATTAACTTTAAGGCATTATTCATGTATATACCTATTGTTGGAATCATTCACTAAAAGAATCAGAAGTAGTTTTGAGAATGTTTTAAACTAATAAATATTTTTCACAATATTTTTCTTGTGCACAAACTATACAAAAAATACAGTGTCTGCAAGTATTCTGTTATTGTCTACAAACATATTAAAATAAATACATTCTTAACACAGACATTAGGCTAATTACCTTTAAATGTGCTTTCTCAATTAACAAAGCATTTTTATTCCTTTTATTTAGATGATTATTTAAAAAAAACAACTTCATGCTGTTTTTTTTTTTAGAAGAGGAAATCTCTGAGGATTTCCTATGATTTATTATTTTTATTTTCTTGATTCTATCCAGTTACAAGCTTTCAATTAAAAATTGCTGAACCTAATTGCAGTTCTCTGGGACACTACCCTTGCTAAATTTTTATTTTTTTAAATTTTATTCCAGGTTTCAACTGTTTGCTGACGAAGGCTTCTAGCTGAAATGTTTGCTGTTTTGTCTTGTCTTTTTACAGGTTTTCTCCTAAATTTTGCTTTATATTTCCTATTGCTTCAACCTGAATGCAGCCGTTTGTATATTAAACTAATTTAAAAAAAGGAAATTTAAACAATTTACAAGCCTTTGTTTAAAATAGACTTTCGCTAATCTTGCCTCACAGGGATAAATGCAGACTATGCTAATAAAATACAAACTAATGGTAAAAACAGACTAAACTGTGAAATAATCTCTTCAATTTTTCGGTTAAATGCCTTCTTGAGCACACAATAGAAAACAAAAAATGAAAAATTATTAGAAAATAAAAACTTAAGTGTTCAACATCACAATGTAGCCTTCAGTCTCTATGTAGAAACCAAAAATTAACACAGACTCACATGGTTTAGGATTTATTATTGGAGTCTTTTAACAATCAATAGTTTAACTGGTTCATAATAACTCCATTAAGTTGCTGAGATGCCTAGTGGGATTATTATGGAAATACTTAGTAAGTTCTAATATTGATAACTTCCATCTGCAGCCAACCATCCTATAAATATAACCTGACCATGCTGCAAAGAAAGATTTGGAAAATCAACTTTGTGAATGCCTCATAAAAATCAATAATTTGTTTCCAATGAAAGCGCTATCAAAAGCTTACCCCAGTTTGTGCTTCCAATTTTTCCAGCATTTGAGCCATAGTGAGCAACTGGCCACGCAAAAATTCAACAGCATCCTAAAAAAGGAGGTATAACATACTTTCATTCACACGCCATGATTTCTTTTGCCTTGCATTTCAAATGTCTAATTACATTACAATAGGTATGATAGAAAATATATTTCAGTTATTCTGTGTATCAGATATGACATCTTAGGAAAATACTTTGAATACATTTTTATATTAAGGAAAGTTCAATTCTGTTATAATGCATTTAGAATTACAAAATTTAAAAACAAAATGGGTAAATAATGTCAGCCATTCAAAATTTGATATGCGATTCAACTGGTCAAAAGAATAAACATTTGTATTAGCCAGCCACAAAATTAGCTTAACTATTCTGAGAAGAATATCAGAACCGAATTCCTAGAGCAGAGTAAGAGAGTTTTTATTATATATACACTATGATAAATAATGGGAAAAGAAGTACATTATTCATTTAATTTAATAAAGGGCTCATTTAGAATAATTAGGAATATATATTGGTAAAGCTTATGTGTTGCTATTCATAATTTACTTTCTGGGCAGTTTGAATGGCTGCCATGTCTTGTACAAGATTTGAGTACTCAGATTTGATATCCTCAATGGCTTTTAGCATTCTTAAAGGATTATTCTGGAAGAAAATGAAACAGAAAATATGACAAAATTGAAAGTTATTTGTAACAACAACTTTGAAGATTTATTTCTTTGTAACTGCTTTATTAGTAGAATATTAATTAGTTGCTTTTGCTTATTTAGAACTGCACACATTTAAAAAAATTAAATTAAGGGAAGCAGACTTTCAACAAAAACAAATTGAAAATCGGTAAAAACAACAGCGAAGTACCTCTTGTTTGATTCCATCTTCATTCATTAGCTCAAAGTCAAGTTTTCTTGTGATATATTTTAGGTCAGTCTCCGCTTTCTGAAACTGGAAATATAATATATAGCTCATTAAAAACAAGTATTTGGTGATTTTTAACTTTATAGGCAGTTCATGAACAAAATATTTGTGTATGGTATTTATCATTATTTACTATTGATTATTTAATTAAGTACCAATAGAGCTTTATTAATTTTGTCATTATCTTTTTTTTTTTGCTATGGCCAAAAATATAACAAAAATGTTCCTTTTGACAAATGTCAGGAGCGTTTTATAAGCCCAGTGCAAGAAGTATGGGGTGTGGACAAAAGAAGAAATCAACAAAAAAAAAAAAAAAAGCCATTGCTGGGGCTTTTTTTTTTTTTTTTTTTAGATTACATACTACCTAGAAATAATTTCATCATTTAGTTGCAGGTAAATTTAGAGGGGTTTTTGTGTTTGGCCTAAACTGGGGCCAGGATTGAATATTTCTATCATTATATAATTATAATATTTGAAAGATACTACTTTCTGTTAACTTTCATAAGTCATTTTCTAAATTCAAGAAACATAAATATCAATCTGAAATTGGAGACGCCATTTGCAGGCTGTCAATACCCAGGGAAAGATTCTATGATAATTTTTAAAAGACATGAGTCCTAACTGCAATTAGTGATTATAGCAAACATCGCAGGAAAAATTTGAGCAATTAGAGAGCCTATGACTTATGAGGATGCAGTTAGTGCCAGGCAGTAGAGATTAAAGCCATTGGTGTATGTAAATGAGCAAGGTACAGAAGCACATAATTCAACTTGATCAAATGATTCAAATGTAGATAACCTGTTGACAAAGACTGGGTACAAAGTAACCTGTCAGATAGCTGGTCTCATGTAGAATGTGTAGTTATTACTTCCAGCATGCAATGGTAAAAAGAACTTTAAAAATCATTATTTGTTTCCTACTGGTAAAGTTGCCTATTTCCCCTTAAGGGCCAGGTTCTTTAATGGTGTATTGTTCTAATTAAAAATTTGAGTGTGTATTTTATAAGTTTTAAATCAAATAAATCAACTTCAAAATCTATTTGATTGTACAATAAAAAATTATAAATTGTATTATGAGTCAAAAGAAGTGTGAAGACGTTTAAGGCTTTCAGTATTGATTATAAACACATGCTTGGTAGTGAAGAAATGAGAGAATTAGTACAAGTATAGTGACAGTGGTGCCAAATCATGGCTATTAATCACATCTGAACTGTCAAAATAGCTAAAGAATGTATTAAGTAGTAATTTTATTACTATTATTATTGTAATTGTAATGTTAAGTAAAAGTAAGCCTACTATTACTACCGGTACTGATAAAAACTTCAATTGTTGGGCTATACTCTATAGTCTATAGGCTATAGTACTCTATGGTCTAGGACAGGGGTTGGGAACCTAAGGCTCGCGAGCCAGATATGGCTCGCGAGCCAGATGTGGCTCTATTGAAGGCTGCATCTGGCTCGCAGACAAATGTTTGATTATAAAATAAAGTTGCATTAATGGTAAGAAATACTCATTATTGATTAGCAACAGCAAAACAATGCTTTTAAAAAGAATTCAGAGACATAATTATTGCATTTTTAGTGTTGAAATTACACAAAATGCACACATTAAATTGAATTTTTAGTTTTAAACATAATGTATGGCTCTCACAGAATTACTTTTCAAAATATGTGGTGCCCATGGCTCTCTCAGACAAAAAGGTTCCCGACCCCTGGTCTAGGGTGACTATATTGTCTTTAATTTTTATCTATCAATATCATATATAAGCCCTATGCTATTTCTGTATAACTTAGTCTACTGTCTGCAACTAGTTAAACATTAGTAGTGCCTTACAAATTAGTAACTAGGAAGTAGGCCTAAGTTATCAAACTCTAATTTGCTATACTATAATGAAGGACTATATTGTTTTGAAAGGTTTCCCAGAGGGTGCAAGAGGGCAGTTCAGGGAATACACACAAAAAAGTGATTTAAGAAGAACATACCACAGAGGCTGAGGCTTTTAAATCTTTTACTTATAATTTTAAGTTACCATTATGTCTATGATTACTATGAATGTTAATATGGTAATAAAAGTAAAATAATAATATATTATTTTGGTAAATGCAGAAAATTGGTGTCATGATGTATCACATGGCCGCCATCTTGGTTGGCACGACCCATGAACTTTTACGGGTCCACGGGTTGCGGCAACCAAGTTGGCAGAGGTGGAAAAATTAAAATAACTCAACTTTGCTAAAACTAAAATTAGGAATAAAACGTTAGAAATTAATGAAAAAAATTTCCAAAATGTATCCCTAAACTTAACCTGAACCCTAAATCTCTCCATAAACCTAAGCTGTGTATTGACCCTAAACTTAACCTGGGTATTGTCAGTATTGACCCTAAGCCCTAACTAAACCTAACCTGGGTATTTACAAATTACATTTTACTTTATTTATGATTCTAGCTAGCACTTGACTTTGAGTAAGTAGTACTTAAGGGGGCGTCCATTAATTATGTCAACAAAATAGGGGGGCGGAGGGGTTTTGGAAATGTTTGACAGTTTTTGACAAGGGGGAGGGAAGGAGGTTTAGATAAGATGACAACAACAATCATGTTTCCTCTATTAAAATTTTAATCTTAAAAATTGACTGGTTATTACATTATTTTTAAAAAACTTATAATTGTAAATGATTGTAAATAGTCATAATTCTTTGGCTTTTGACAATGCCGGTATAAGATTTATTTAATGTGTCTGTCTGTGCACTGCAGATGGCTGGTCAGAATGTTAGCACACTTTGTTAGTGCAAGATAAGTCAAAAGGTAAATGATATTAATAGAGTTGGAATACGATATTTTGAGAATTAGGTGAATGCAGAATGAGTAACAATAATAAAATCGCTGTTTGAACGGATTTGCAAAATCTGTAACATCTATTTTGTATCACAAGTCATGTTGAAAAAGCATGTTTATCAGCACCAACAATGCCCTCTTGAGCGTAAGAAATTAGCAGCTACTCCTCAACAAAAAAGGATTCGACCAATGCGAGTAGCTGCAAGGAGATAGAGAGAGCTTATGGCAATTATTGCTCACACCAACAATGCTTCTATTTTAAGTGCTGAATGATTATATGAGTATGATGTTGACTTGTCTGGTATATCAGTGCCGCAAGATGAAAATGATAAATCAGCTACTTTAGACTACGCCCATCAGGGGCGTCTTTTTAGGATTTTTTTCAGGGGGAGGGGGGCAAAACCATAACTTGGTCGGCTCGTTAAGTTGTTGGTTACTGGAGGCGCCACAGTACATAGCAATTTAAATACAACCTGCAAATGGGCCCCCCCCCCTCCCCCACCCAAATGATTTTTTGTCAGCTTTACTAACAATAATCAAATTTATACCACCCGCAAAGATATTTAGTCTTTAATTTTAACAACCTTTCAATTGATTCTGCATTATAAAATTTAAGTGGAAAAACTTTTTAACGTGTTGATTAACAAGCTAAACATTAACATGTAATTAAATGTTTTTCCTACAATTTCGTGTCATTAAAATAGATTAGCACAAAGTAATATGTATTTATAAATTTATTTATAATATAATTCCTTTTTTTTTTTGGAGGGGGGGAGGGGTAGAAAATGTTGACATAATTAAATAGGGGGGTCATTGAAAGTTTGACAATTGTTGACAAGGGGGTGGAGGGGGGCAAAAATTGCTTAAAAATTGTTGACGTAATTAATGGACGACCCCTAAACTTAAAGTAGTAACTACTATTACTGGTATTAAGTAAGAAGTAAGAGTAATAAGACTTAAAAACTAAGCCTTATGAGCAATGTTCCCTCTAACGTTTGCTGGTTCTTGTGAAAATCATACAGTCGTGTGTAAAGTTTTACAGCATCAATTTCTTTGTGTGCAAAATTTACAGCCCACAAACACACAATTACATGGAAATTTAATGCGCGGATACTCAAATCTGCTGGGCGGCGTCTGCGAGTTAGCTGCGCAGCTTAAAGGGAACATTGCTTATGAGTAACTACTGACATTTTGATAAGTTAATAAGAGATGCTAAGTAAAAGTAAGTAAATAAATTGATGATGGGCCTTTAACCCTCTTGGGACGTCAGGGCTGATTTATCGGCCCAAGGTTGACTAGCGAGAAAGACGTAAGTTCGGGCCTCACAATTGGCTGGCTTGGCGTTATACCAGCGAATCAAAATTATTCTTAAATATTCCTGCACATCCCGGCATTGTAATGGCGGCGTTCGTTGAAGGTGAACTCAATTTATTTGTGTGTAGGAATTTGTGTGTGTGTGTGTGTGTAGTTACATCGTGAACTTCGAACATGTCTGACATTGACTCTGATCAAACTGTGCTTAGTAATTTTGATGTTCTAGCAGTGAATTTGACACTGAAACTGATGAAAACAACCAGGAAATTAATGAAGACTTTAAAATTGAGGGTAATGCTAATGTTGTGAACTCTCGGTTTAGTATTACTAGAATTAGGGGTCCTCAACTGGACAGGGATGACCCCTCTGAATTTTTAGACAACATAGGTGGAATAAATAAGGCATAAGCACACCATTTGAGTACTTTATACTATTTTTTACACTAAATATCTTTCAAATGTTTATGAGAGAGACCAATAGATATGCAGACAACTTTCTCAGTAACATCCAGCTTAAGAGAAGGTCCCTCTAGGTCATAAATTGGGGCCAGTTACAGTGTGTCTGTAACAACTGAAAAATAGAGTGGTGGGATGGAAAAGGAGTAGAACCATGTGCCAGATGTATCTGAAGGGCCTCCATGGACCTTGTTTCCCAAAAACATAAATTTTAGAACTTATTCAGGCTTCATCCATCAAAAAATTCACACGATTGATACAAGTAAGTCATGTTTATTCTAATTCTAGGTTTAACAAAAAATTACAGGCATAAATTATGCAAATCAGGGTAGCTCATTTACATAAATGTTGGTATTTCAGTTTGATTCATAAAGATTGTATTAGTTCATTCAATTTCCTACAAGAATATATATAGTTTTACAGATATTAAGGAAATAGTTTATTTTTTATAAATATTTTTTGCAATACGAGTGCCCAGCTCGTAAAAAGTGCTCCGTCTTTTTGGCACGCTGAAAAGGCTCTGTCCTAAAAAGAGGGTTAAAATGTATAGAAGAAGAAGTGAAGAAGAGTAAGTTTAAGTCTTCTAAGCCAGCTGAGGCTCAGCCGAATTGTTTACCCAAACTTTTTAAGTGTACCATAGATTCTAATGCATCCACTGTTTTTTCCATTATTATCAGAGAGTTGATTGTGTCAAACTGAGAAGTTTTTGGTTTTGTTTTTTTAAAGGATTTTCACTATTTATGATAACGAAAGTCCAATATTCAAATAGACTTCCGTGATTATTTAGTGTTTTGTTTAAGAGTCGCTTCCCTTTGGATATAATCCAATGAAAATATCGTGTATATATGTCGTGGCCGTTAGATATTGATTTCCGACAGATATAAAAACGCATTTCATTGGCCCAACTCATCAGTAATCACAACTCCTAACTGCCTCAAAATGTCTTCAACTGCAGTCATGGTCGGCTTTCTCTTTGTAACCTTTGCTACACTGTTTCACCATATCTACGGTGAAATTGTGACTGGATCCGTGTCACTGAATTCTGGTGTTTTTGACAAGGTATTTGCTCTCACATATATTGAATCATTCGCCTTCACTGCCTTTGCTTTTTGTTCAGTTGCCTTGCTATGCTTTTCTAGGCCCAAACACAATTTCAATTCAGACATTAATTCATTAATTTAGTCATTTTATTAAATAGAAATTAGCAACAGCATTTTAACAATGAATTAATATTGAATTGGTAAACTATTTCATTTACTATTAACTTATTAATAATGTAAAAATAAGTAAGATTTACCATTTATAAATTATATTACTAGATAAGTCAGACTAAGGATAAGTAAAATAAGTTAATTAAAGTTTCTGTACTAAGGGTCAGTAAGAGATATAATTACGTAAGAAAAGTTAAGTAACTTTTAGTAATCTGTAAATTACTATAGTTCAGTGTAAGTGTAGTGTAGGCTTATTAATGACAATTTAACACTCATAAACAGCAAGAACGTGTCACAAGGGGCCATCCTAAATTTAAATTATTTATATTATATTTATACTAAATAACTAGGGCTTAAGTGGGTGCAGTTTTTTAAAATCGGATCTGGTTATTTGTTGAAAATACCCGGTAGGTCCAAAGTGTTACAAAAAATGTAACTTCTCATTTACTATAATTTATGAATATGCCAGTCCTTAAACGATATGGCCTACAGGCTTAGACAGTCCTACATGCTACCCGCCGGTCTTTAAATAGTACTAGACCATACCTGTGGCTCTTTATTACTTTCTTGATTTGTATAATAGTCGTCTCCCCCTATAGAAAAATCAACCTGAACAGAGTTAAGATGTCACGTATGAAAGCTCGCGTTACTCAGCACTATTAAAATAGAACATGTGGAGTTGGGGGAGGGCTGGTTGTGAAGAGAAAGCAGGACATACAGAAGCAAAATATATATCATATTATTTACAAAGCTATATTGCAAATGGGACTAAAGTACTGTGACAAGCTCATATTGGCCACCCCTTTGCAAAAGTTTTAATATTTTATCTCATTTCCAAAACAGCTCTAACATGTAGACTTACAATTTCAGAACTCTCAACACTCTTATTACTATCTATTATACTCACTATCTATGCCTACCTACTGTATTCAGAACATTATTTTTGCATGTTACATTAATTTAAAGAGATTTCTCTTCCCCCCCCCCCCCCCCCCCCACTCCCATACATTTTAAGCAGAGTTGAAGCATTCATAAAGGCATAATTTGCAAATATATTTTTAGCAAATTAATATTTAGGTTGATATTGTAAAAATTATTTTTAAATATTGTATATATTATAGCCAGTGAATAAACGAAGGATAATAGTCAAAGAAGATGCCGGTAAATAAAGATTAACATTTTCCACATTTGCGGTCTTAATCTTGTGTTTAATGTTTAAAAATTAATATTGATTTTATATTTGATAACAAGTTTTGCTTCCCATTGTATTTTTAAAAAAAAATAGATTGTCCAGAAGCATAAAGCAGTTTTGGTAAAGTTTGATGAAACCTATCCATATGGAAAAAAGCAAGATGTTTTTAAAGAAGTTGCCAAAGCAAGTGTTCTTCAACCAGATTTACTTGTTGCTGACGTGCAGGTTGCAGGTAATGATCAGGGGAAGTTGTGTTTACTTATGCATGGTTAACCTTTATCATTAATACCCATTATAAGTTTAGTATAATTATTTATTCATCCCATTATTTAATTACACTAAATATCATTTTTACTAGTTCTAGGGATTTTATAGAGAAAAAAAACATCTGAAGAATAAAACTATGAAAAGATAATCAATATGAATGTTAAGCATCATTCACTGGGGTTGCTGCATTATGTTTATTACTTCAATGACACACCACTGCTCTGTGTTGTAGCTGAAATACTTGCTTACATCTTTATATACAATAAATGGTTTACTGAACCTTTTGATTTTCAGAAGCAAACACATTATATTCTATTGTAAGACAAAATAATAAATCACAAAAACTTATTAAGAAGGGCTTGTAAAATACAAAAAACTGAAGAATGCAATTTCATAAATTTCCTTTTAAGACTGATTACAAATTTGTACTGTATTTAGTTATTACAACTTTAAAATTCTATCTAAACTGAAATGGACACTCAATTAATTTTTGAAAACACATGGAAATTCCTTTGAATTTTGCTTACATATACCAAAAATAATAAATTATGGTACATATTTCCAACGGTAATTAAAATAAGATTGCAGTCTATCCTTTGAATTTAAATGATAAATCTACGCTTCATTAAATTGTATATGATAGTTTGATAGTGTAATGGCGCTTTTAATTCATTGTGCTTGAAAATTGTTTCTGTCTCTATATGTATTTTATTGACTTTTTTCGCCAGATTATGGTGATAAAGATAATAATGACTTAGCCGAAAGATATGGAATAAAAAAAGAAAACTTCCCTGCTTACAGACTATTTCTTGATAGCAAATTGGATGATCCAATCAAGTTCACAGCCAGTGCTGAGAATGCTGATGATATTAAAAATTTTGTCATTAGGGAGACAGGTAATGTCAAAAGCCGTTTTAAATTATCTAAATGCTGAAATGATCCTATTTGAAGTAGAGATGTTAGTATCTTTTTTAACAAACTTATTTTTTTTTTTTTTTGTAACTTTATAGTAAACATAATTCTTGCTTAGCAGGCTGTATAAAATTGCACACAGCAGGCGGGGGAGACTTTAGTGACAAATTAGCAATATCTGCTTTTTTTTGTTTTTGTCGTAGTTAATCCTTACTATGTATTATTTATTAAAATAGAAATTTTTTTACTGTTCTTTGAATAATACAAATCTGCAAAGACCCAAAATATATTAAATTCTCCTTCTTTTAACAAAAATATTTTAAATCCTGCTGAAAAAGATATATGATTTTTTTTTCAGTTTACTACACACTTTTTGAGTTATGTCTATTTCCTAACTTGCTAAAATACTAAAATTATGGTATAATATTAGTATAATATTTAATTTTTTTTTCCAAATACAGGCCTATGGCTTGGTCGACCAGGCTGTATAGAGGACTTTGATAAACTTGTTAAGCAATTTTTTGAAGCCCCTGCTGACAAGAGGGCTGAAATAGTAGAAAATGCGGACAAGGCTGCTGAGAAATTTACAGAAGGTGAAGAGAAGACTTCTGCAGAAACATACGTTAAAACCCTTCGAAAGGTCCTGGAGAAAGGGAATGACTTTGTCAAGTCTGAAGTCACACGTGTTGAAAAATTGCGATCAGGCAAAGTCAGTGACAAGAAGAAAGAGCAGCTTAGCAATCGTTTGAATATTTTGACTACATTCCAATTAAATGTTAAGGATGAGCTCTAAACATTTGGATTTTACAATTTTAATTTAGTTATTATATTTGAAGTATTAAATACCTTATTTTGTTTACTGATTTTATAAATATAAGCCATTTTGCTTAAGTTGTGTTTTAAAACTCTTGAGGTTAAAAAAGATTATTTTAAAGCTCTTCATGTCCATTACATAAGCATTTGAGATAATGTGTAAATGCTCACGTTGTTTCTGGCTAGACTAACACTATTTTTGTACAAGTCTGTCATTTTGACTGTTAAATCTCTAAGTGCTGCAAAACAACTTCATCATATATTGTAATTGTATAAGTAATGCAAATATTTTTATTAGAATTAATTTTTTAAAAATATGCCATATTCAGTAAGGCATTTATTTAAACAATGTTTCATTTTGTGGTGTATTTACAAACAAAAAAATCAAAGTTTTGCAATATAGCAAAGTGTTAACATGATTTTAAAAATTGTTAACTGAAAGATGCTGTGTTTTAAAGCAATGTATTTTTGGTAGTCTATTGTGTGTATATGTGCATAATTTTTCATTCCCATGAGAACAATGTCGGGGTTGCTATGCTTTATGAAAAAATGTGTATGCATAAATCCTCTAGTTTTTCTTTAAGATAATAAAGTTGTACTTGAATATTAAGCTCATAATAAGTTATCAACTAAATGAATGAGTTGTTAGTTTCAATGTTGATTTTCAATTTTATTTTAATATGGCTGTTATAATGTGCCTCTGCCCATTACAGCCAATACATTTTAAATTCTTTGAGATAGTCAACAGTTACATAGTTGGCGAACAGTTACATTCTTGGTGTTTAACAAATATATGGAATCATGAGAGCTCAATAATTATGGTCCAAATAAGTTTTGTTAAACATTACAATCTCAATATTTTAAAAGTTATATAAATGGTTATGTATGCTTCCAAGTGTTTTATTTATTTTTCTATTTAAAATTATTCAGCAATAAATGGTTGTCATGCATCAATTTTTGGTCTTCATGTTATACATTGCACATATTTTTTAATGCAAAAAAGAACATTCTTACAGTTTTAATGTTTTACAAAGTAGACCATTGCCTTTGTTTAAAAAAAAATTATGACATGAAAATAAGTCTCAGATAAGTACTATTTGACACGGTACTGCCTAAACTAATAAATTAATTAGCATTTTTATAATGACATGTCCACTAGTTCCACGATATTCTGTTACATAGCCAGTTATTCAGTTATAAATTCCACATGATTAGGAAAATAAAGCACTGCTGATATGATGGAACCCACCTCATTTACTGCAGTGCAACAAACGGGCTAAATTGTTTTCTAAGTTTTGACTTATGAGACTTATGAAACATTGGTGTTTCACAGTGCCCAGACTTCTTATATCAAAGTACCCGGTAGTTATAAATATGATTGGCAGAAAAACTTTAATTATGTCCTGGTGAAGAAAAAAAACGACTAATATATTGGGACAATAAAAATAAAACAATTTTTATCACTCTACTACTAATAATCTTTATAAAAATAGTTAATACAGTATTTCCATTAGTGGATTTAAAACAATGTAAATGCACTTGTTCTCTCCTAGGTACATATTCACATAACCTGTTCATATTTGTATAACATTAAATAATATATTTGAGTTGTTTTCTATTAAGCAACATTGCACACAAGTACAAGTTAAACAGCCATTTACTTTTACAGAACTTTGACAACTCCTTGACCCTATTTACTTCTTACATATGACTTATAAGGTTATATTATATTCTTCCTCTTCCCTGTAATCAGCTGTCAAGGGATCATCATACCAACTCATAAATGTTCCACTCACTACTGAATAGGATAAATTAAATTACTAGATGCATACAAATAACTTTTTTTAATCAAGTAAGTAATAATAGGATAACACACAATAAAAACACTGGGCAGGAATGGGCACTGTGCTCTTCCATATATGGTATCTATGAAGATTGGGTATCTATACAAAGGCTTGGGGTATACTTCCACAAGGTAAAGCTTATCACAAAATATGTATAAAATTATCCAGTTAGAAAAGTTTTAACCCTTGAACTATCAAGTGCATTTGCTCTGCGGCATCGAGCCATTTATAGCATTTCTATATACTTTCTAAAATAACATCCCACACAAATTGAATTCAGATACCTTTACAATCCATGTATACATAACCAAAAGAACATAGGATAAGGAATCAAATGGTATGAAAAAAGAATTATTTATTTATATTACTATTACCTTTTGCAAGTTGATCATGATCTTGAGCTTTACACATTCAGTAAAATTATACTAATCAAGTTCTGCATTCAACCCACCCAAATCTCTGTATTTTGTTCTTCTATCTGTCATTTATTCAGGTTTTTTAGATACTAAAAATAAAAGAAATATACTTTTAGGAATGTCAAATTATAGGTACCGTACTTGGTGATTTATTTTTTCATTTACTACCGTGAATATTGTCATGATAAAACTAGAGGGGAAAACATGAAATGCATCTTAAAAATATTCATTTCCAATGAATTTATTGAATCCAATTTTTATTAATTAATACTTTAAACCATACACAAATATAAATTTCATTGAATCTCTAAATAATAGGTCTTTGGGATCCAATCTTTGTCTTTTGTGTTCTATTTTCACCTTTTTCCAACCCAAACTAAATTGTCTATAGCTTAGGGCTAAACATTTCAATAGATGACTCCTGTCACCATCACCGCTAGTGCTATTGCTATCATTACTATTAAGTGGAATCTCTCTGAAATCATCGTTTTAATTTTAATCCATTTGAAATGATTGCAATAAAGAAAGTCTGTGTTGATTTAGCAATCTAGAGGGACCCTTTTTCCAGAATCAGATATAATGTCAGTCCAAAAAATTGCGCACTCCTTATTACTCACATAACAAGCCTAGATAAATGGGAAGCAAAGTCATTTCTATAAAGGGATTTTCCCTTAACTTACTTTTAATTATTTGCATTTTTAATGACGATTTTGCTAGCGGTCAATTATATCGGCTGCAACACCACAGAGTGGGGCATTACGACAGAAGATCAGCTAATTACATGACATAACAAACAGGGTTAAACAATTTTATAATGTTTGTTACCATTGTTGGCCATATACTGTCAAAGAAATTTACTTGCAAGTCTCTAATACCAAGTGTCAACCCCTGCACTTCAATCCAAATCTTGCTGTTTCAAGCCAATTAGCCATTGCATACAAATACAAAGGATACAGTGTTTCCTGAATCAATACAGCATAATGGTAAAATATTTAGCTAAAATGTCAAAAGAAATCTGCTGCAGACTTCCGCTTCCTCTTGGGCAAGTTCAGTAAGTGATCTGTAAGAGATGGTATGTCCCTGCTGTTTTCAGGTGTTGCATTCCCTCTTTCACTGGCCGGTGTGGATACTGCTGGACTACCTGGCAGGGAACCATGAGACCGTCTTGAACCAGGGGTGAGTCGAACTGGAGTTTTAGTACCTGGCAGTCTGTGAGATGGGGAGGGGCTGGGTGTGTAACTGGCAAGAAGTGCTTTATCAGTAGATGTTTTTATGCCAAGACGTTTACTGGCAAGTCTTTGGGCTGCTGGGGACATAGAATTGAGCCGCTCAGCTGAACTTAGACCTATCTTGGCAGAAGGTGATGGACTGGAAAAAAATATTTTACAGTACAAAATTAGCTCATGACAAGGACTCTTTGTTGTATTCAAATTAAATTAGTTAATACTGCAAGGGTGATAATGTTTTAAATAATGAGTAAATGGTTTCATCTAAAGATACCAAACAGACACACTTCAGAGTAGATTACCTGGCAAACCTACGCGTAACTTGTCGAATGGCCTCTTCCTTTTTTGCACGGTGTGCTTTGCTTGCTTTTTCAGAAAGTTCAAGGGCAAGTCTATCTCTCTTAGGAACAGCTGGTATCTGTTCAAAGAAAATATTTGTAAAATCAAGGTTAAACAAGAGAGATTTATTTTACCATGGGTTGGACAACCTGCAGGGCATACGCTGCCATCTGAAATGTTTAACAGTAAAACAACCTACAAGACCTTCCAGGAACTAAATTAATTTTTTAGTAAAATAAACAAAGAGTGAATGATTATAATTATTGGTAAAAGGATTTCAGAAGTAAAAATCACAGTATAAAATTGTCAAACTAATTAATTAATAGTAATAATATTTAGATTAGACCCTTGATTCTCTGAATAAACTGGCTGAAACAACAAACTAGGTCATTTCAGAAGCATTGGAATTAAACTCTGCTAAAAATAGTAGCACTAAATTTCCAAGCTCTAATCAATAGTACACTCCATTATTCAGAATTCTGGAAAATTATTAAGCATCCCACCAAAAAAAATATTCTATACATCCCTCCACACAAAAAAAAGTTGTTCACCAATTCATTAAGATGGATTTTTCAAATCAGAAATATGTCACCATTTTAATCTTATTAAATCACCATAATGTAAAATAAAATGTTCCTATAATTTTATTAGCTTCTATTTAGCAAGTATCTCTAACATCAGCATACCTAAATGAGATGTATTCTTTCCCAATGGTCATATTATTCAATTTAACAAGAGTTTTTATGTCTATATTATTAATTTAACCAGAGTTTTATGTCCATGCAATCTCATCAGAAGGATCCTGACTTACCCTAAACACAGGCCCTGGTGTCATTCCAGGAATAGTTTCATTGTTGCTATCCAGCCTGGAGGGTGTACTGTCAATCTCACCCCATGTCATCAGTGGTGATTCATTAACACCTGGGGCAGGTGATGGTGTGGCCACAAATCCATAACCATTGACCTGTGGTGACTGACTTGGCTGGATTTCTTTACCGTCATGGCCAATTTTACCTGATACAAAATACAAATATTAAGACTTTAGTGCACTCAGTTGGTGCTTACGCACCTGATGTAAGCACCTGATACAAAATACAAATAATAAGACTTTAGTGCACTCAGTGCGTATGCAGCTTTTGCTCCAGTCTGTGTTGTGTTTACCCTGAACATCAGTATGTTCACTTTAACTTACCTAAATTGGTCAGAGCCTTAAAACAAGCAGCTTTCTGCATGGCTTCTTTACTTCTAGCATTGTTGAAAGGGTTGTGTTGAAATCTTGTATTTTCATGGATTATCTGCTTTGGCTTGTGTTTCTGTTCTTCTATCTTCTCTCTCGCACTGAGATCCAAGCCTAAATTCAAATATGGTAATTCAAATAAAAATTAGAAATATCTGACCTTAAAATATTAAGAAAACAACTTTTAATTTCAGTTTTTAAGATTGCACCAGTATGGGCCTCAAATTAAATACTTTGATATTTAACAAAAAAGAACGTTAAGTACCATTTTTGATATTTTAACCTGGATGTTATGACTAATATCTCTAGGTTAGTAAAAAATAAACTTCTTTAGCAAAAATTCTAATACATGTGTACAATTGTGATACACTATTACAATTTTAAAAAATCATAGAACTTAACAAGTAGTTGAAGTACAGTAACTTGAGATCAAACCATATGTACAATATCCAGGATAAAAATTTTATTTTGAATTTTCTCAAATTTTTTCTGGTATATTTATTTGTTTAAAATTGATTATAAAATACATACATCACTGTGATAAATCTTTAAGATATATAATCTTTTATGAAAGATATCATAGGTTTAAAATCCATAACATACCTTCTGGTACATACATCACAGCATTTTCATTTGTGTATTTCCATGAGTTAATGTGTGCAGGTCTATCTTTTATGGCTGCTTGCTCTTCTATTGGTGGGAGGGCAATCATGTCTTCATGTTCCTGATCATACATATTTTATATCAACCAAATAACAAATCAATGCAGATAGTTAAATTAACAAACTATTTATTAACATTTAAGTTTAAGGCAAATACATTTATTTATTTTTTTAGGGCTTTTTTTATGCAAATACTCAATGTATTTATTATATTCTAATTTGAAAAAAAAAATTGCCTAATCTCTTTCCTCTATGAAAAAGATATATTTAAAGTGTGTGTATGATTTTCTATTAATTTTTTTTTTGGACCAAAGGTACATCAAAGAGCATATTAATTTAAATTACTAACAGCTAACTGTTCTTTTTCCTTTTCAAAAATCCAAGCATGTTTCAATCGATGCTTTCTTTCAGACTCCTTGAGAATTTCTGCAAATGATGCACTATCCTCACTTGTATTCTTAGCCAAAAAAGCATCTAATTTTATTCTGGGTTCACTTGATTCTATGAAAAAGATGATTAAAAATATAATCAATAAGTTATTTGAACTCTTTTTTTGATGCCAAAAATAAATTATTAAACATAAAATATTCTTTCCTGTGGATCAAAGTGATTTTATATCGCCAAAATATGAGTTGTGTATTATTTCTAAAATGTATTTCTACATTTTTTTTAAGTTGTTTGCAAGATTTATTATTTCTAAAAATGGAAGCATATTATAAAACACTAAAATCACAATTTTTAGAATAAACTTTGAAAACAAAAAATAACACCTTCTTCTAAATTTTCCATCGCCTCTTGAATATCATCTTGTTCACTATTGCCTCCATCTTCTGATCTATTGATCTGCTTTCTTTTTGCTGGAGTTGTTCTCCTTCGAACTTCAGCAGGAGTTTCAAAGGTGGATGGGGTATTGGCTGAGAATAGAGAAGAGTTGCACTAAGATACACATTGATTGGGATAATCTTTTTTAATCATTGAGTTACCATTAGCTTATCAAATTAATATTTTGATAATATTAAAAAATAGAAAAAATTTAATGAAAGAAAAAGAAATGCTGGGTGATCAATAGGTATTTGGTTAGTAATGTACCCATCTTTGCTGCATACAAAAATACAAAGTTATAAAAGGCTTTAATTTTAATTCTCAGTCTTCACAGCATTCTCTATAAGAAAAGAAGCTTATATTATAGGTATCTTTCAATGAATACTGCTGACTGTGATCTTAAAAAAAACTTTTAAAAAATTAGCTGAAAATTGATTAGTTGTACTCACAGACATCTGAACAGCCTGTATCAGGTCTCTTGAATCTCATTTGTATTTCCCTCAACTTAACCAAATCATTTTTTTCCAGGGCCTCATAATACTCAGCTTGAGCCTCAAGCTTTGGCAAATCAGGAAAAAAATCCCTCTCAATAATTTTGCTGATACTCTGTAAAGATAGGATAAAAGGGATGTACAGCCAGTACAGAACTGATTTTTTTAATATCAACAAGTCATATGCTGACTACCCACTACTGCAACCTTAAGAGAATGTTTGCATTATAATATTAACCTTAATGTCTTGACTTTACTTTAAATTCAGATTAATGCAAAATTTTAATCAATACAAATAGCTGAAGTTTACAGCTATTGGTTACGCCCTTTTACTCTTCAACACAAACCTAATATAATAATTTTTTTTGTCTTAAGTTAAGGTCTATGCCAAATAATAAAGTATGTAAATTCAACTTAGTGAAAATGGGAAAGTCAATGACTAAGACTAAGTTTGTGAAACTAAAAGGTACACTTAAAAAAAAATTTCACACATCAGGGAAGTATTATCATAAGTAAGTCAAAACTAGATTTGTGTCTGTCTGTCGATGTAAATACTACCAAATATTATCAGTGTCTTTCCTTAAAATAAATATTTCAGTCACTGTCAGGTTATGTAATGTTGTTTTCTTAATGTGAGAGAGGGATGGCAGTTGAAGAGTACAAGCAGATTGTATACAGATTGTATTACGGAATTGTATAGGAACACTGTTTTTGACCGTAGTCTGCTGTTTGTGAACGCCATTTGTGAAACAGAACATAATTTTGGGGTGAAGGATATGGACACATGAAATTTTAATATTTTTCTCATAAGATTGTGATTCTAATTCCTGGGAAGCTAGGCCAAAATTAAATGAAATAAGCGTGAAGCAACTTATACATGCTTTGTTATATTTTTTCTACACATCAGCCTTATAGTAGAGGCCAGAATTTTTTGTTTTCTGTGGCTAGTGTGCAGCAGACCAGTCCTAGGCAAATTTGTTCCACCACAGCTTTGAGCAGCTATGGCTGGGCGCTTCTGTATAGCAAGGGAGACTACTTAAAAATGAGAAATGGGCATCAGCGCACCGCGAAAGAATCAGGCAGAGTTTTTAATTTTTGGATGTTGGATAATTAATAATTCATAGCTCAAACTCAAAAAGTACTAAGTATAGAAAGGTGATTCTGATTTCATTTTTTTAAATTTGAAATTTGCTCTATATAACTGAAGTATTGTTATAATTTTTTGTAATTTTAAAATATTTTTACTGGAGTACCTACACTATATGGCCAATTTAAATCATTGACTTTGACATTGTCATCACATTTTATCATTTTAATTGTATGGCAATTTATGGTTATGGTATTTAATTAGGCTCCATTCGACTCCTTTGTGATGCTATAAAATAATATTTAAAACCCCATGGGAATATTCTGAAAATAAAAACTTAAAATTGTGAGGCAAAGAAAGAAAATTGAATAGTAAAACTAAAAATTAATAAATGTAGGACACACACCTGAGAAAATTCATCTTCTGAGAGTACTTTCTTCGGTTTGGATAAACGTTTTAACGGAACTTTAAACTCATAAGGAGCTAAGACTTTACTCGTTACGTTCACTTTTTCTAAATCCATTTCCTGCATAACTTCCAGGTCGAAATATTATATGGTCATCATTTATGCGTATGATTTTAGCTAACAATACGTAGGCTAATTGTCGACTACTAAGAGTTATCGGGTAAGTTCCTGTATCCTGTAAACAGGAAACTGACTTTTACAAAAAATAAAACTATGAAATTTTAAAGGATAATTGATAAATAAAAAGTGAAGACCATCTTTTACATATTTTATATTATCTTTAGTTAGTTAATTTGCATAAAAACACAAGTAATTTAAATTTTAAAAATATATAATTATTTATTACTTATGTTATCAGTAAATGTAATGATAGAAAATATGTTTTGTCTCGTAGCCTAAAAATTGAAAATTTAAAAATATATAGTCTATCTACTTATTAACTCTAAAATGAAAGAGTAGAATTATATAGTCTGCTATAGTTAGCAGAAGAAACATTTATTCCAAGTAAACAAGATTCATCGCAAAGAAATCGAATTTTATAAAGAAAGAATGAATGTAACTACATTGCCTTTCCATATTAGGGGCAATTAAGGATAGACCCAAATAATAACACTACATAAAACTTAATGTTATTTTAATTAATATTAAATTTAATTATTCGTATTTTGAAGACACTTTATTTCATCTATTGAACGCTCAACCTGCTAGTGCACTTGATAATGACTAAAACAGCAACAACACTAAAAATAAAACATAGGGCTAAAACTAAGATAGGATGCCTCGACGTCTTTTGGATGTTTACGTGTGGGAGTCGCTTCCCTTTGTTTACTTTTAGAGAATTTTTTTCAGTCTACACTATCTAATTTTCGACAAATTTCTTTTTTTTAGTAAAACAAATTAATGTGTTTACAAAAATTGATGCAATTTTCAGTCTACGACATTTCTTCTCAAACAAATTTCCGGATACGAATAAACATATCTACAGTTTGATGCAGTTCTTTGTTTACACAAATCAATTACAAGTTTTAAAAAAAAATCCATTTATAAAGTTCACACTAGACTAACAATAAGATGGCTCTTGACACACTGACTGCCACTGCCTAGTTCAAAGCTAACATGCCTTCTCAACATACTAACTCCACCGACTTACGAGAACTGCCTATTTTAACAATTTTCTGCCTCATGTTTTTTGACTGAAGCCTTCAGAGATGGAGACTTTGGGATGGGAATCTGATACCAAACTCATGGTAAGCTATGATTGTGCCCTGAAACAGAAGTGGATATGCACATTACTTCAAAGTTCTTCAATGCCTGCACAAACTTCAGACTCACCATTAAGACAAAAACAACTGAGGTCCTCTATCATCCAGCTCCTCAAAACCTTAAGGTTGAGCCCAACATTCAATAATATGGCTATTGACTAAAAGTAATAAATAGATTCTCCTTCATTGACAGCATACTGTTCCAAAGTGCAACCATTGGTGACAAATTTAACCTTTGTACTGCAAGGGCTAGCACAATTTATGGCAAAATGTCTAAGAATGTATGGACCAGGTAAGTTATGAGCACACAAACTATAATAACAGTTGACAAATTAACGGTGCTCCTGATGCTACTCTCTGCACATGAAATATGGATGGGCTTTCAATGCCAAGCACGAAAGTTGAACCACTTTCACATGACAAGCCTGGGAAAAGCCCTCAATATTTCCCAGACAAAAAACAAGTAATTTTGGTACATATTTATTTATATTTTGTGAAAAGATCAGAGACTTGATCCTACTGGAATATATCTGCAATAAAGCACATAAGTAGTGCAATCAATGTATGAAGTCACATTGATTTGAAATTTTCAAAAAGGATTTTTCCAAATTAGAATGACACTCATAAAATCTTCTTTTTGAAGCCAGTGAAATAAGGATGCAACAAATGCCTCTGCACAATAAATATATATATAAATTTAAATGTAATAAATAGAGGCATTAAAAATAAATCAATAAATAAGGATTTGAAATAGCAGGTTTAGAATAAAATGAAAGGTTCCTTTATATTTTGTATATTCAAGTTGGTGAACCATTATATTTGAAATCATCGTTTCATTTGTATGAATTCTGTAAAGTTATTTTATGTTTAAATTAAAATGTATATTTATGTGTTCATATTTAAATGTTCTCCTAAATTTGTGTGTGTAGAAATTTATGTGCTGTATTTTCTGCATTATGTATCTGTCACAGAAACAGATATTGGAGATTTTATTTTGTATATGTGTACTCCTACAGAAACCTGCAGCTGGTCCATTGTTCAACTATAGAAAAAGACAACGTCAGGCTATCTTGTCAGATCCTCAGCAGATTTCAACAGAGGGATCAAATTCATGTGCATCTTCTGAGTGTAAAATCCATTATATATTTTATGTAAAAATAATCCAAAATATTTTGCAGTTTTGCATGACAAGTTTTGAATTTCTGCCTTAAAAATGTACATTTTGTTCTGCAAGTGATTCTTATTATTATATATGTTACTCATTCACAAAATGTAAGTTAAAATTATTAAAATTTAACATCCTAGTTCATATTGAATAAGTTGTTTTTGTCAGTTCAAAAATAGTACAACTCATACATAACTTCACCTTCCAAATAATACATTTGAACAATATTTTTAATCTTATTAGATTATAATTATTTTTTTTTAAAGTTGCAGGACAACAATCATCTTACAATACTGTAAAAAACCAATCTGAGGTAGTTAGAACACACCAGCCTGTAACGATTCCTAAAATGAAACCTGGTTTGATGAACATTCATGGCAAATTTATGAACACAAATCCACCAACTCCTCCTGTGAATAAAAATGTTGGAAACCAGAATAAATTTGGAAATAATAATGTTAATAATAATAGAAGTCAACCTGTACACTACAATGTTAACAAACCACCTGCCAACAATGTGGCATCTTGCTCAAATTTCCAAAAGGCATTGAATGCAGCCGCAGCAACCTCAACTTTTCCATATCAAGTACAATCCAAAGCTCCATTTGATATTCAAGGCAATAGACAGACATATAGCAGTTTCAACAATAACTTGGAGAGGAGGAACTTGAATTTAACTGAAAGGAGTTTCAGTGAACACGAAAGAGCAGCAGAAAGGAATGTTCAGGCAAATTCAACCAACAGAGGAAGTTCTAAAAAGATTGTGACAGCCTGTCAGAAGAAACAACTTGCAGTCCCGTAAATCATTTTTTAAACTTTATTTAATCAAATTCATGAAATTTAAGAACTTAGTGTAAAGATATTGTCAAACATTGGAATGAGCATAGAAAAAGGTACATGCTGTTCCTTTTGATTTTTCACACAAAACAAATGACACAAAGAAATGATAAAAACGATCCATCGTATGCAAGAATATGTTATTTTTGAGCGTTTTTATGTGATACTCCATGTAAAAGATATCAGCTAATAAGTTAAGAGTTGGTAGCTGTTTTCCAAGAGAAAACATACTTACAATATTGATACAGTACATTAAAATGAAGTTTAGTCTTATCATTCAGTGTATCTATTCCTTGTCATATTTCCTCAGTGCCTTTAACATAGCACAACAGTCATAATTCTGCTTTAAGGCAACAATGTCTAAAATGACAAATATTATATTATGAGCTCCCTAAAAATAATTCCAAAATTGTTCCCATCACAGTCACACATTTTAATGACTAAATGTATGTTTTTTTTTTTGCATGTATGGCATATTATATAATTAAAAACATTTTCCTTCATATTATGAGAACCTGGCATGCTTGGTTTTAGAAAAAATATGCTTTGAGTTGGGTGAAGACAATTCATCAATCTTACATTAATAGTATCATACACTTACTTCCCAATTATTCTCTGTGCCCTCTAATAAATAATGTGCAGTTTAATTACATTACCATAATACAATATAAATTTGCAACTTAAATATTATTTATAATTTCAGTCAAAATCAAAGAAGCTCAAATCAGGTATCCAGTCAGTCCTATAATTTTGAAGACGATGACAGTTGTCTTTTGGGAGCAGGAGTTAAAACTGCCAAAACTCAAACCCAGAAGTCCTACAACAAGGTTTTTAAAATATACAAATTTGAAGTTTGAACATTTATGACAATTTACTAAGATAATGACTCATACAGAATAGATAGTGCAGATAATGACCAACTGGGGAAGACCTACAAATTTTTCACTTTGGCTCCAGGCTAAAGAGACTACTGGATGTGGGTGATGATGATAACATGAACAGGAATTTTCTATGTTTACTTCTGTCAAATATGTCAGAGCATCTGGCCCGAGGCAGCAACATTGTTGAGAAACTTGATTCACACCTGGAGAGATTCCTGATGATGACCTTTGTGAGAAGTGGGACATAGTATATTAGAGGGTGGCATTCCGTAACTAATCTAAAGTATAAAAATAAAGGTATTGGGCTGGGATAAAGTTAGAACTGAAGATTTGTGCTTAATATTGCTTTATTTTGTCTTTTCTTTTCAGAATTTGACCCAGTCTGATCAAATTGACAGATCAATGCACATCTTTACATGTGCTATATCAGTGATGAAATCCTGGCCCCCCTCTAAAAAAAATGATTGCCAAGTTATGTTTGAAGTGTTTGGTAAGATTCCGAACATTAACGTGTGTCTGTCAATAGATGAGCTAAGGAAGTATTTTATCAGAGTGAAAATATAAAAGATGTTTAAAGGAAAAATAGCCATATGCATTATTTTACTAATGAAGAAAAGTGGATTTAGTTATATTTTGATTGTTGGTTTTTAACGATTATAACAATGAAAGTTTATCCTTAATCTCTATGCAGCTTTTAAATTATCCGGATGTTTCTTTTGCCCTCTTGTTACAAATATTGTTTGTTTTTTAAATAGTATTGCTGAGGATTTAAATCAAGTAAACAATAAAGTGGGCTAAATTCAAATGTGTAGAATAAAATAGAGCTCAGTTTCATATGAAAAATTATGTGAATATATTGTAATGCTTTCTTTCAAGCAAGTTCTGTGGCAGTCTAAATGATTGCTTTAAAAACATTACTAATTTTTTTTTATCAGTTATCATTATGATAAAAATTAGATTCAACATATTTACACATCTAGCAATTCTTATGTTTTCACCCAATTTATCAGCTGGCATCATAAGTGAAATGCATG